TCAGGAGCGTCTCTCCCTTGTTATTATACTTCTCTAATCTTTCCAGCTGTGTGCCCAAGATTGAATCATTTCTTTTCACACACTATGCACTTCCCTCTTCTCTTCCACCAAGTCAGTCTTCTGTCCTGCAAATCTCCCATGCATGCCCACCTCCTCCACAGAGCCTTCCTTGACTGCAAATGTTCCATGCATGCTCACCTCCTCTACAGAGCCTTCCTTGGCTGCAAATGTCCCATGCATGCCCACCTCCTCCACAGAGCCTTCCTTGGCCGCAAATGTCCCATGCATGCTCACCTCCTCTACAGAGCCTTCTTTGGCTGCAAATGTCCCATGCATGCCCACCTCCTCCACAGAGCCTTCCTTGACTACAAATGTCCCATGCATGCCCACCTCCTCCACAGAGCCTTCCTTGACTACAAATGTCCCATGCATGCCCACCTCCTCCACAGAGCCTTCCTTGACTACAAATGTCCCATGCATGCCCACCTCCTCCACAGAGCCTTCCTTGGCTGCCAATGTCCCATGCATGCCCACCTCCTCTACAGAGCCTTCCTTGGCTACGTGCACAGGATGTCCCTATATCCATGAACTCAGAAGTGAGCACCACCTGCTATGGTCATCATGCTTGCCTCAAAACTCAATGTGAAAACTAATAATATTAGTAACAATTATTAATAACATAATGTAATGCTTTCCACAGCCTGCCTTCCGACTATAAACTGTGTTCTATAAACATGAAAATCTCTAAATTAAAGCAACCTCAAAGCCACTGTTCTTGGTTCTTTCTATACATTTTGACAACAAACAGAAGATAACAGGATCTTAGGACTGAGCCCATCTGACAAATGCAGTCTATACAAAGACAAACAACCGGAGGAAAGCTGTTTATCACTCTTGTCACCATTCAGGAGTGGCTGACTCAGCTGACAACCATCTTTGCCTAATACTTGTCCTGAATATAAACATGATACAAAATAAATACAACTAGCTGGAAAAATAAATGGGAAGGACTTCATAATCTTAAAAAAAAAATCTTAACTCATAAAATATAAAATCCTTTGGAGACCTCTTGTGGTTAAAGTTAAGAATAAAAAGTTAAATTTTTAAAAAAATGTTTTGAAAACTGCTACATTAGAATCTTCTATAATTCTAAGCAGTTTTTGCATTTTCTCACATAGCATTAATACAGACTGACTTCAGTGTTAATAAAATATCCACCAGTACTTGACAAGAACTAGGGCTTTGACCTTCCGACTGTGCAGAGGAAGATGGAGGTTTAGGGAGACTGTTGGTCTGAGAGCTAAGAAACCGCACATCAGCACTGACAACAGACAACACCAGACACAAACTTCGGGTCTGAAAACTCAGTGCAACACTCTTGCCTGGGAGCCGACCAGGACCAGAAGTCTGGCCAACTGTTCTTCAAACCTAACCATGCTCCCTGCTACAGTACTTTCTTTTACATTTGTCTGCGGGGCTTGGATGGCTGAGTAGAACACAAAGAGCCCACCATAGGAGCTGCTATCCAGTCAGTAAAGGCCCATGAGCTCTGTAGACATTAGAGTGAAGCCACTAGCTCTAATTTAAAAATTAAGGTAGGAACTTACCTCATGCAGTGAAATAAAGAAAAACTCAAATTTAAAATTGAACACTGCAAATAAAATTAAGAAAGAAAAAATAATTTGGTGGAAATAAAATATAGATGAACATAAAGGCAAAGTGCTTTCAAAATGGGAAAAGATGTTTTGAAGATAAAAGTAATACAATGTTACCAGAAGCAAGGACATTTAATTGGTACAAATAGACTATTAAAAACAAGTAGAAATAGTAAATTAAAATGTTTTTTAAAATGAGTTTACTTTCCTACAAGGTGCTTGGCAAGTCCCACCCGTTCTACCTCCGTCTTTCCCATGTGTACACACACAAGCCAGAGGTCAACAGCAACAAGAGGAGGCCTCTATCAGAGCCATGGATCATCCCATCTCCTGTCCCAGCACAAGGATTACAGAATCCGTCATCACACACAACTTCCCACATGGGTGCTGAAGAGCTGAACTAAGATCCTCATGCACAAGCATGTGCAAACAGCAATCATTTTATCCACGGCACCTTCTCCTCAGTCCTGAACTGAAATATAAGTTCTAAATGTTTTAAAAGAGTCGTAAGATTGTTTTTATTTTAAAAAAAAAAAAAAAAAAAAACAGGGTCAACACCAACAAAAGAAACATTACAGTAGCATGGAAATTATATCCTAAAGACATGCACAAAGAAAAGAATAAGAATGCACAATGAACTCTAATAGACATTTCAGAAGACTGAAGGAGTGAGGTGTGTGCAGCTGTAACCCCCGCATCCAGTAGAGGAGGCAGGAGGGTCGGAGTCCAAAAAAATCCTCAGATACACAGGGAGAGGGGCCAGGCTGGCCACATGAGAACATGACTGAAAAAAGAAAACAGTATGGACATGTATCCTGCAGCACTCCCCCCCACCACCACCACCAAAAGAACAAACCAAAAATAAGTAGGGAGAGACAACGTTAGAAGAGAAAATGGCCCCCAGCATCTGAATACTGGGTCCCCAGTCGGTGGTGCTGTTTGGGGGCTCAGGAGGTGGGGCCTTCTGGACATGGTGTCACTAGGTCGGGCACGGACAGTTAAAAGCTTTGGCTCTAGCTCACTCTGTTTTGCACTTTGTGGTCCAAGTTGTGAGCCCTTAGCTTCCTGCTTTCGGCTGCCTACCATCAAGGACTCCAACCCCTGGAACCAATACACTCAAATAAACCCTTCCTTCTCTAAAGGACCTAGTACATGGTGTTTTATCATAGCAACAGAAAAGTAACTAAGCCAGTTATGTTCCACTACAATGAGTTTTCTTAGCCAGGCCCTTTTCCAGGCCCTTTACCCATATTATCTTCCCAACGGACCTCTGCGGCGAGCTTCTTATTACCCCTATCTTATAGACTAGAACAGAGTTAGACGAGACACTTGAGTGATCTACTCAAAGTTACTAAAGCGAAGAGACAGATTTCCACTTCAACCTGCTATTTGACTCTGACATCTGAAAATCTACCAGTTCCTTCTCTATAGACATATAAATCAGCTACAGATACTCATAGAAATGGATGCTTAACTCTCGACTCTTCATGAACAAAAGGTACAAAAAGAAAATGTACCAAGAGTGGTCAGTAAGTGTAGGCAGAATTACAAACCTAGAGTGCTAGTTAGAGAAATACAGGAAAATGGCCGGAAGTCGTTAGGTTCCTCAGAGCCCGTCAGCCACCCAGGATGTCTCCGGCATGCCAAATTCAGGCTCCAGAACCTCATCGGACAAGGGACACTGAGGAACACCATCAGATAAAGCTCCTTGACAAATAAACTCCATCTTGGCACTGTCTGCTACCCCACAGGTTTTGGCATTTTATTGACTTTTGTCTTTACTTTTATAAAAATAAGTGGAAAATAGAAAACATGATGACTAAATGACCAAGTTCCAGGTTAATCTAAATTAATCAAATATACTTATTTATAAAGAAAATGAGCAAAATCAAAACACAGAACACTGTAAAAGTGCTTCCATCTAGAAGCGTCTCTTCAAAGGGATTGAGAAGGTATTCATGTTTTACCTCTCCAGGGTCAGCACCCCTCATAAACAGACTGCGTGGCTTTCCACTGGCCAGGTTTAAACACAGAGGAAAACTAAGAGCCAAATAAAGGGATCTGATCCAGAAGTCTCTACCCATAATGTAATAAAGATTATTTAAATGATGACTGTAAATATTTGACAGAGTTCCCAGAGTGCTTGGGCCAGCATCCAAAATCTTTATAAGAGTTTGTAATTCTGACTTAGAAATTCCACCTTCAGGAAAGAATTGAAAATGCATGCACAAGTTTCCACAGATGCTACAGCAACATCTGCAGAGCTGAAACAGGAAATATAACAAAAAACGACGGACAAATCTCACCCACTTGTACAACGGATGTCATAAGGCATCTTGTTGTGAGGTGCTTACAGAAATATTAGCAGACAAATGACGTTCCCTGAGCTCTGCCTGAGAAGGGTGAGTATGCACGAGATGGGCTCTGAGCCGGGGCACGCCGACCCTGGCTGATGGACGCCTGGCACCTCACTGCACTGTTCTGAGTAAGTTCATGTGTATGCAATTTCCCTTAAGAAAATGGATAGGGAATTTTTAAGTTAAAAAACTGGTATAAAACTATATCTGCTACATGAACACAAGTTTATAAATAAAAAAATTAATACATATAAAGAAATAAAGCACCAAAGTGCAGTCATTTCTGTATTTATGGAACTGGATTTACTTTATCTTTCTTTTTGTAACTCTTAATTCTTCTCAATGAATGTATATTAGCGATTTCACCGGAAAGACAAACTGTGAAAGCCACTTCAACAAAAAGAAAAAAACGTAAATGGAAATAAACTTTGAACTCCCAAGACAAGCACGTGCTCACTGTAACTCAGCTAGATTTGCCCAGTGACTTGTCAGCCCACTAGCTGTAAACCCGACAGCCATCCCTTCATGTAGACAGCCCTCTTCACTCCGGAGCAGCCCACGCCTCGCTGCCCTTTCCAGCCATGCTCTTCCACAGAGGCACCTCCTGGGGAGTACGTAACACTGCATGCCGTTAGAATCCAAAGGCACGCTACAGCCTCGCACATGCGTGTTCCCCTCTACCTGCTGTGGTATATACCCTGCTTCATAACGAGTGCTGTGATAGGAGTCCTAGTAAATAAAACTACCGGGCACCACCCTGAAGAGAAACATGCATTTAAAGAAATAAGTTCTAAACTACCTCTAGAATGTCTACATAAATCATCAAATAATATAATTAAATCCTTTTAAAATGACTGTCGTCTATAGTCCTACACAATTTTTTTTCTTCTAGAAACTCTATTACTGGGATATAATTACGATACATAATTTCCATGAGAACAAGTATTGGCTTGGGAATCACTCTAGTTTGGGAGCGGTCAGGACTCACCTGACAGCAGCGGCCCTGTGGATGAGCATCTCCGTCTGCTCCGACAGCTGGGAGGGGAGCAGCAGTTCCACGGGCTGCAGGCTTGACAAGCGAGTCTCCAGCTCCAGTCTGGAGGCTGAGTCCTGGAAGCAGTCGAACAGGACCTCGCCCGTGGCCGGCTGCACTCCCTGGAAGCGAAGGTAAACAGATAGATAGCACAGGGCACAGATACTCTCCCAGCCGCACAGGCACACCACAGCATGGTTCTAGTAATGCACTCTTGCCAACATGTGCTGTTTCTAAAGTGAAAATCTGTCTGCCTGTTAAGACTCTTACCTAAGTTAGCTTCGCAGGCATCTAAAACAGACTGAGGAGAGGGCTCAACAGATAACGGGTTCTGCCGCCGAGCCTGAGGACTGAGTTTGATCTCCACAGGGTTCACATGGTGGAAGGAGAGCACGTGCTCCCAGAGTTGTCCCCTCACCTCCACATATTTGCCATGTGCACATAAGAACATGTACACACTCAAGATAAATAAATAAGTGAATAAATAAGTGAAACTCACCCAGTATTCAGTAAAAAAGCCAAGACAACTTAAAACCATCACCTGTCAGTCACCCAGTGTAATAACAGGAAGAAAATGTGAAAGAGCCAAGGTTTGGAAGAGGTGCAGAGGTAGTGAAGTCACTCAACCAAGGTCTCCGAGATACAAAATGATGGAGCCGGATTCACACCGAGCAGTCTGACTTCCAGTCTGCACTCTCTACTACTGGTGCTTAGAGATGAATAGGTAGGGACAGCTTGCACCTAATGAAGAGCCAAATGTGACAAATCCTTATACTGTTGATGCGGTCAGCTAAGTGACAGTCACTTGCAACAAGATCCAGGCCCTATCTAGGAAAGGAGGAAATGCCTGCATGCAAATAAATGTCACACTCAGGCCAGCAGGCTGGCCCAGGCCCAGCAGATAGAAGTGCTTGCTCCCAAGTCTGGTGACCTCTGTTTGATCCTCACATGGTAGAAAGACCTGACTCTCATGAAGTATCCTCTCATGTCTGCAAGCATGGTACACGTGTGAGCCCCGCAGCAAATACATAAACAGAAAAACAGTGTTTTTATTTTGCATACAAAGTGGGAAACAAAATATTCAAAGCAGTATTATAGTAGGCTTACTCTACATATAAAGGTCAAGGTGGTAAAAGCAGAACTAAAAGAAAATAATACTATTGCCCCAAAATCTTTACATCATGTCAATCATTTAAGTCACTACAGCTACTGTAGAAAGAAAGGCACTTGGGGAACTTGAGGATTCTGGGTAGTGTTCGAGTTACTGACCTGGGTGATTGTCTCATACTACTCTGTTAAATTTCTATTCATCTTTTCCTTTTGAATATTTCATAATTTCCTTAAATCTTTCATCTGTAGCCAGGGAATGCCCTCAAGTCCTGCCCAGAGGTATCCTCTAGTGCCCACAGCTATGGCACCATTACACTAGGGTTACCTACCTAGGTTCAATCCCAATCTACAAACCAAGCATTGACATAAACAGATGACAGAGTTACCAGCCAGTCGAATTCTCTGTTGCTTTAATCAAAGGACTCATCTAATGGCAATACCTACACTGTGTATTACTCCAAGAGACGTGTGGCATTAAGAAACCCACAATCCAAAGAAAACTGCTCTCAACAGCGAGGCTTTCAATTTCAGACCAACTACCAGCACCCAAAGGAGACTCTCAGATGGTGACTGGGAAGTGTAAGATGCTCATCACAGTGGGCGAAATACCCAGGGAGAACAGTGCTGAGGGAAATGAACTCCATTCGGCCACACTGAATCTGAGGAACTGGAGCACATTCCAAGTGGCCTTGTGCAAACTGGAGGCTTCCGGAGCCCAAGTGAAAAGCGCAGCCTCAGCTAGAGCTCAGGATGCCATCAGCCAGAAAAGGGACCACTGAGGTCAAGGACAGGAACCGAAAACCACTTAGGGTCAAGGACCACTGTTCATCTTTTCCTGTCCCTGCTCACCTGCGACAGTCGACCTGGCAGTGGCAGGATGCTACTCCAAATCCCCAAGTAGGACCTGTGTGCTCCTGTGCCTCAACTCTGTTCTTTCGTCTGAGCTCCAGGTAAATATACAACAGCACACTACATATGCTGCAGCTGAAAAGCAAACAGCCTTACTATTTGTAGATGGGACCAACTGTCTATGACTAGATAAAAAGTGCTTCTCAGGGGAAAAAACCCATTTGAGCCTCCCCAACACCCACAGTATTGCTAACTCCCTGAGAGAGGGGCTTACTGGCTAAGCAAATGTCAAGTTAGCAAAGTTATGCGGTATGAATAATGCATTAAAAGGCAGACTGAAGACATTCAAGCTTTAGGACTTCCTGCTAATGCTGGTCACGTTAGACTGAGGACATTAGAAAAAGCAGAAAGAGTGGTAACAAGGGAGTCTAACAGTCAAAAGAGATCTGAAGTGAGTAAATTTGCCCAAGTTGGCAAAAGGCAAAATCAGTGGAACTATTACTCCTGAATCACATTTACCTGGAAGACAGAGTGGAGCTATTTCTGGCATTCATTTATCCTTTACTATGTATAAAGTAGACTATCTTGCATTGGCCACTTACCATTTCCCTTTAACTCTTCCTTCCTCCAAATCTAATTAGGGGAGTTCCATAATCACTCCTGTCAGATTACACAGCAAAGAGGAAACTCTGCTAGCCGTGCACCTGCTTGGCGTAGTATTTTATTGTGCTATCAGCTCCCTGTCCACATGCGTGCCTGTCACTGCCATCACTGACAACTCTTGACAACAGCATACAGTCCAAAACTTTCGGGATCTTTGCAGCACAGAGTGCCAAGTAACCAGAAAAGAAAATCGTAACTAGTGACTAGACGGGCAATATTGGGAGGAAAGCACACTTCATCAGAATCCTCATCACGCACCACTCACGACTACTCACACGAGGTACCACGAACACCCATCCTTCCTCACCTTCAAAGGACTTACCACGAGACCAATGGAAACATTCCCCTTCTTTTTGTCCTTAGTATTTTCCTTCTCTTCGTAGATACATAGAAGATAGTTGGTAGAAGTATCTGTTGTTACCTCATCGATATTTATAGAATCATCCAGCCTGATTAGAGGATTCACATGTAATAATGGTTAAAGAAAAGTCACATGCCTAATTCCCATTAACTGATAAAGGTTTATTTTTCTCATGCAGCGTTCTTCCAGTTATGATCACAGTTGAATGTCGTCTCTTCCCTGAACTACGAGAGGCACAGAGACAGACAACTATTATCCTCTCACTTCCAAAGGGCCTAGCAGTGCGGCTCCAAGCCTGGGGAAGTCCAAAGGGCCTAGCAGTGCGGCTCCAGCCCTGGGGAAGTCCAAAGGGCCTAGCAGTGCGGCTCCAGCCCTGCGGAAGTCCAAACAGGAACCCACTTTGCTGAGCTACTGCTGAGACTTGACTCCTCAGCGATCGTATAATGAATTCTACAAAGCAGAGCAAACACGCTGAAATATCATAAATGAGTTCCCACCTCCAAAGTGCCCAAAACTCTACAAGTATTTTACTTCGAAAGACCTTTAAGACATTTTAATTAAACAAAACATATCTTAACATGTAGGCATATATATGCACACACATGTATAAAATGAGTCCCGTTAACCAAAACTCTCAAGGATAAAAGCTGACTCTGGACAAAGTCATCCTGGCAACATCCGACTTGGTTATCAGGAGGCAAGAGCCTTACTGGCAACTGAGGCAAAGCAGGGAAGGGGACTGTTTGGGGGAAGGCTTCAAATAAGAGACTCAGGGAAAAAATCAAATACCAGGTTCTTCCAGCTTGATCAGCTTAGAACAACAGGGCTCCTGATGATCTGCAGTCCATGCCAACGGTGACCGTTCACTACCATTCACTACTGATGCTCTGCAGTCCATCCCAATGGTGACCAGTCACTACCATTCACTACTGATGCTCTGCAGTCCATCCCAATGGTGACCGTTCACTACCATTCACTACTGATGGTCCGCAGTCCATCCCAATGGTGACCAGTCACTACCATTCACTACTGATGCTCTGCAGTCCATCCCAATGGTGACCAGGCACTACCATTCACTACTGATGCTCTGCAGTCCATCCCAATGGTGACCAGGCACTACCATTCACTACTGATGCTCTGCAGTCCATCCCAATGGTGACCGTTCACTACTGATGGTCTACAGTCCATCCCAATGGTGACCATTCACTACTGATGCTCTGTAGTCCATCCCAATGGTGACCAGTCACTACCATTCACTACTGATGCTCTGCAGTCCATCCCAATGGTGACCAGTCACTACCATTCACTACTGATGCTCTGTAGTCCATCCCAATGGTGATCATTCACTACTGATGGTCTACAGTCCATCTCAATGGTGACCACTCACTACTCTTGGTCTGCAATCCATCTCAATGGTGATCATTCACTACTGATGGTCTGCAATCCATCTCAATGACCACTCACTACTCTTGGTCTGCAGTCCATCTCAATGGTGATCATTCACTACTGATGGTCTATAGTCCATCCCAATGGTGATCATTCACTACTGATGGTCTTACTTGAACAAAAGCATCTCAGAATTTGTGTAGAAGCTAAGCAGGTTGAAATAACTTCTAAGAAACTATAGTAGAGGTGCTGGAAAGATGACTCAGTGGTTAAGAACTCCCAGAGGATCCAGGATCAATTCCAAACACCTACAAGGTGGCTCACAACCATCTATAACTCCAGTTCTGCCCTCTTCTGGCTTACCCTGGTACCAGGCACACAGAAGGTAAAACACCCATACACATAAAAATCAATAAATCTTTAAACAAAAAACTACAACTGAAATAGTACTTTTACATGGTATCATTCAAACTTTCTTACACTATTGAGAGACCTAACCTAGGCCTGGAGAGCCGGCTCAGTGGAAAAAGCACTGTGGATGCTCTTCCAGAGGACCCATGCTCAGTTCCACCACCCACATGTGGCTCACAATGCCCAGTAACTTCAGTCCCGGGGGATCTAATGCCATCTAATGGCTTCCTTGGGCACCAGGCCTGAATATGGTGCATAGATCTACATGCAGACCAAGCACCCATACACGTGAGATAAAGTATTTTCCTAGAGCTGAAAGGAGCCGTGGAGGCACTCCTCCACCCTAACCTGGAAGCTGTCTCCAAATGACAGAGTGAAGATGAAAACTTTTCTCCAAGGCAGTCTTGGGAAACAACCACTCCTAAGGGCGGGCTGCACACCCAGCTGTCCATGGCCAACACAAAGTGAACTCAATCACATCTTTGCAAGTTCTTTGTCGCGCAACGTCAAGTCAGGGCTTTTTTTTTTTTTTTTTTTTTTAATCTTACAAATACTTTGAGTACATATTACGGCTTCTGGTTTGGGGTTTTTACAGGATTCCTATGTGTGCGAATGGCGTGCATCTCTGTATCTATATGCGTTTCTTATGCTTTTTCTTTGGCTGTTTTTCTTGTTTGGTTTTTGTCCTATTCCAATTTTGAGTTTGTTTTTTTTTTTTTTTTGGTCATTTGTATTTTATTTTATTTTATTTTATTATTATTATTCCTTAGATGCCTGCTTTCTAACGGAGACAGAAAGGTGTGGATTCCAATGGGAGGGGAAGAAGGGAGGAACTGAGAGGAGTGGGGGAGGGGAAACTGTAATCAGAACATATTGTATGAAAAAAATCTATTTTCAATAAAAAAAATTGAAGAGAAACTTGACCCACTATCTAAATATTCTCATTTGCACCTGCTCCTATCTTATGAATAACTATTTCATTTTTTAAAATGACATGTCAGGTACAGTGGCCAGGTCAGAACAATCCCAGGTATCAGAAAGGCTGAAGAAGAAATTCAAGGCCAGCCTGTGCTACACAGTGAGACTCCATCTCAAAACAAAAAGCTAGGAATTTGATTACTATGCTTTTGAAACTATTTTGCTTCAAGTAACATAAAGAATTTGAGTGATGATAATCCTTGGGATGATCATTGTGCACACTGAAACCTACATGAGAAAATTTCAACCAACTACCCATTTTCAATAATTTTTTATGAGATTAACAATTAATGAAGATTGCCTCACATTTAACTGTGTATTAATTTTGTCTTTGAAGTTCTTTCCAGGTGAAGTTAGTAAGCTATTTTCAAGTCTCACTTTAGTAAGACTCTGAGAAGTTTGCAAGGTTCAGATAGCTAACACTGTCCCAGAAATGATCTGAGGAAAAAAATCTCTTTTCAAAGAGCTGTTAACCTGGCATGTTTTATTAGGCTCATTTTACTCTTGCTATTAAAGTACGGTGAATTCTGCTCTCACTCTGACAATGGACACATACTGTATCCAGCCACTACCCACCCCACGCAGTCTGGGACACACCCACCATGGCTGAAGTGTCAGGATGGATAGTGGCTGGACACCTCATCAAACACATTCTCACTCAAGGGGAAAAAAAATGTTTAGTTCAATTTGTCATTTTGAAACAAAGCCCCTACAACAAGAGGAAACTTCCTGTCCTCAAAGGATATCTTCTCCGATGAGTGTGGACTTCGTATAGAGAGCAGTCAGCTTCCGGGAGAAGACCGAACTCTTATTGTCTCCGATGGCCTTTAAGGCGGCGGTTTCTGTTTGTTTCACAACTCCAACCTTCAACAAAAAAAGACACGCTTACTGTCAAATTCAGGGAATCATTGTTTAAAAAACTAATAATAACGATTTCAAAATGTCAAAAAGTCAATTCAGAAGTGCTGGAAAAAAAGCAGCTCAACCCTTGATGTGCAGATACAGAGCAGAGAGAACCCCAAGCAACTGGCAAGTGGATACAGGGCAAAGAAACGCTCTGCCATGCAGCAGAGGGCACTCTAGAGTTCACACTGCAGTGCATTCCTTGCAAGCCCAGCACTGAGGCTGAGGCTGGAGGACTGTGAGTTTATGTGAAGTCTGTCCTGGGATTTACAGCTCAGACCCTGGCTCAGGAAACCAACACGGAATGAAAAGTAAGATACAATGCTAATGACTACAACGCATTTTACTTTCTCAGAGTCCCCAATTCCAAAGCCAGTGGGAGCCTTTCTGCCACCTATAGACAATGCTTTTGCTCTCCAGAAGAGAGTCGCAATTCCTTTTCCACAAATCAAAGCTAAAGCTCACCTTGTATCCTTTGGCCACAAGTCGACGGACATGCACGAACAGTCTGTGAGTGGGTATGCTTGCCGTCATGAAGTTGTGGTCCAAGTGGCAATAAATATTGAGTTCCCGGGCAGCAATCTTAAAGGTGTAGACAGAGAGAATGTTAATAAAAGTCTATTCACGATTCCCTGTCTAAGGTTTGTTCATTTTGTTAAAAGTTCATCAAACTGCATACGTGTACTTAGAATCTGATATTCCTCTAAATACATACATCATCAATAAAATGTTTAAAGGGCCGGGCGGTGGTGGCGCACGCCTTTAATCCCAGCACTCGGGAGGCAGAGGCAGGCGGATCTCTGTGAGTTCGAGACCAGCCTGGTCTACAGCGCGAGATCCAGGAAAGGCGCAAAGCTACACAGAGAAACCCTGTCTCGAAAAACCAAAAAAAAAAAAAATGTTTAAAGGGCGTTCTCTGTACAAAAAATAACATGGTTTCATCTACTTTGGACACCTCCAATAGGATCAGTTCAGAGCCAACATCTGTACTCTAAATCACAAAAACACAACATCTTTTCTTCAGTGTCCTTAGAAATATACAAATGCTACCAAAACTTAAAAATGTCAGTCTTCCCTACCTTAAGAGCCGAGAGTGTAATGGAAGAAGATATGGTTATACAAAGGGCACACACGAATGACTGACAGGTAGAGACACTACATTTACACAGAGGAAATACACCTTCCTGACAAGAGACCCTGACCCTGTTAGCTAAGAGAATGTGACTGAAAGAAATGTGAAAGCAGAAAGCAATAGATAATTCCTCGCTTTCTTCTAGAAACTATCATTAGCTGAACAGTGTCCACCAGAGCCACACAACCTCATTCCAACATTCTCACTACCCAATCTCACCATCCACCATCTCGGAACTGCATTGCTCCATCATTACTGTCAAGGGAAGAGCAGTCTTTACTAGGGTCAGTCTGTACTGGGGCGGGGGGGGGGGGGGGGGGGGGGGGGGGGGGGAATGGGGGGGGGCACAGTATAATGTTACTGAGAGGATATCAATGTCCTGCAAAAACAGGTTTTAGAAAACTGAAAGGAAAAGGGTTAGTAAAGACTTTGTTTTCCATGCCTCAGGCAACATCGTATGTACAACCTTATCTCTCTGTGACATCCTATGACCCAAGCAAGCCTCAAACATAAGCATCATCCATGAGTCCCAACAATGGCAACACCAGCAATACTTTTCCTCAGCTTGGCCATTGCAGTGGTGTGAACAAGAAAGGCACACAGAAAATCATGTTTGAATGCTCGGTCCCTAGTTGATAAACTATTTAGGAAGGAGGTGTGTTGTGTCACTGGGGGTAGGTTCTGAGGTTTCAAGAGGCCACACCGTTCTCAGTTAGTTTCTCTTTCTCTGCCTTGTGCTTGTGCTTGTGTCTCAATATGTAAGCACTCAGCTAGTGCTCCAGTGCCATGCCTGCCTGCTGCCATGCTCCCCACCACAATAGTCATGGACACTAACCCTCTGTAACTGTGATCCCTCAATTAAATGCTTTCTTTTATAAGTTTTCTTGTGTGATGGTTTGAATGAAAATGGCCCCCATAGGCTCATAGGAAATGTGCAGCCAGAAGTTTTCTCCAGTCCTGCCTGGCCCCGCGGTCCTGCAGCTTCCTATAAAATAATCACTCAGAGGCTTATATTAATTACGAACTGGATGGCCTATGGCTCAAGCTTTTTGCTAGCTAGCTCTTACAACTTAACCCATTCCTATTGATCTAATGCCAGTGGCTGTGGCGTTACTGGTCTGCTGGCATCTTGCTGCTCCTTGGATGGTGTCTCCCCTTCCTCTCTTTTCTCCTTTTACTATCTCTCTTGAATTTTCCCACCTGGCTCCATCCTGCCCTGCCATAGGCCAATGCAGCTTTATTTATCAACCAATCAGAGCAACACACTCATAGCCTACAGAAAGACATTCCACAGCAGAAGTGGCACTATTAGGAGGTGTGGCCGTGTTGGAGGAAGTGTGTCAGTAGGGGTGGGCTTTGAGGTTTCAGATGCTCAAGCCAGGCCCAGTGTCACTCTCTCATCCTGCTGCATGAGGATCTGAATGTAGAACTCTTGAGCCACTCTCCAGCACCATGTCTGCCTGCATGCTGCCATGCTTTCTGCCATGATGTTGATGGACTAAACCTCTGAACTGTAAGCCTGTCCCAAAATGTTTTCCTTTATAAGAGTTGCCATAGTCATGCCGTAGTTCTATTCACAGCAAGAGAACACTGACTAAGATATCTTGGTCACAATGTTTTGTCACAGCAATAGAAAAGTAACTTACGACACCCATTAAATATGCATATTCGTCTTTAACCTTCTTCACTGAATCCTACATCAAATGCTTCTAAATTAAATCAGGACCTACCTTGATAAAAAAAAAAAAAACTGACAAGGTGCCTAACACACATAAAGATCATTTCAAACACCTGTTCATAGCTGGCTGTTAATTTGCTTGTCCATGAGATGGAACCTTCTTCCTATAAAAATTCCTAAGTTAAAGGTAAAGAGAAGACAGACAAGAACCTTCACTTTCACCCACAAGTCTACCCCCACCAAGCTTGGCTACCCTTAGTTTTATTCTTACTATAAGTAACATATCTTATCTTTTCCTGTTATGTGTATGGGTGTTTTGCTGCATGCATGCTTATGTACCACCTGCATACAGTGCCCACAGAGGCCAGAAGAAGGCAGACAGAACTTACCTCTGCATCCTCCCCAAAGAATCTGTACTTGTACCCACATTCCACACACAGAACTGCATCCTTATACTGCTGTTTCATATCCATGTACTGCAGTTCTAACGGTGTATAGATGCTTTTGGATCGCTTGTTCAAAGAATTACAGTCAGAAGGCTTCCGGAAATTTTCAGGGCATGGTCCAAATTGACTGTCCTGGAAACCAAAAGATTTATATGGTTTAGAAAGCACCAACTGAATCGCTGAGTTCTCAGAGGATTGGCAAGTTTGACAAGAAGCTAACAGTTGGTGGCTCCACATGTAAGGTTTCTAAGGACATGTTGCATATTCTAAAGCCAGACTGAGGCCAAGTTATCTTAAAGGTTGGAAATCTTTTCAAAATAAAAGTTTAAAACACAGGAGAGAGCAGTGGGGAAGGGGATACAAATGAGAATGACGTATAATGTCATGTGATATCATGATGAAAAAGACAACTAGCCGGGCGGTGGTGGCGCATGCCTATAATCCCAGCACTCGGGAGGCAGAGGCAGGTGGATCTTTGTGAGTTCAAGGCCAGCCTGGTCTACAGAGCGAGATCCAGGAAAGGCACAAAGCTAAACAGAGAAAAACTGTCTCAAAAAACCAAAAAAAAAAAAAAAAGAAAAAGAAAAAGACAACAATTACTCTATATGCTAACTTTAAAAATTAAATAAATAAAAAGGTAAAAAACCAAAGTAAACTATATAAATAAGTATATTTGAAGGTTTAAATAGTTTAATGTTTTATATATTTTTCAAATGTTTTATTTCATAAGCCTATTAATATCTTATTATTTATTCCTGAGAGTGCTGGGCAGCAAAGAGTAGAGGGCATATATCTAGGGCACTTTCTGAAAATATGCTAACATCTACACCAGGTATAGAAGGTAACTTTCCAAGGAGGCTCACTTCATCTCAATAGTAAAGCTATCATGGCTGTGACCTTGGCAACCAGTCAGAGTTTAGAATCCCCTAGATAACACAGGTCTAAGTGTGCCTATGAGGATGTTCTCCTCACCCTTTAACTGGGGAAAGCCAGCCTTGAATGTGGGCAGCACCATCTTATGTGCTAAATAAAAGAGGAAAGTGAGCTAAGCACTGGTGTGCACTCTGCACCCTGACTACAGATGACTCCAGATGACTGCAGTTGACTCCAGATGACTGCAGATGACTCCAGATGACTGCAGTTGACTCCAGATGACTCCAGATAACTCCAGATGACTGGAGATGACTCCAGATGACTGCAGATGACTGCAGTTGACTGCAGATGACTGCAGTTGACTACAGTTGACTGCAGATGACTGCAGTTGACTATAGATGACTCCAGATGACTGCAGCTGACTGAAGATGACTCCAGATGACTGCAGATGACTCCAGATGACTGCAGTTGACTGCAGATGACTCCAGATGACTGCAGACCACTGCAGTTGACTCCAGATGACTGCAGTTGACTGCAGTTGACTCCAGATGACTGCAGTTGACTGCAGATGACTCCAGATGACTGCAGATGACTCCGGATGACTGCACATAACTGCAGATGACTCCAGATGACTGCAGATGACTCCAGATGACTGCAGTTGACTGCAGATGACTCCAGATGACTGCAGTTTACTGCAGTTGACTCCAGATGACTCCAGTTGACTGCAGTTGACTGCAGTTGACTGCAGATGCCTGCAGTTGACTGTAGATGACTCCAGATGACAGCAGATGACTCCAGATAGCTCCAGATGACTGTAGATGACTGCAGATGACTATAGATGCAATGCAGCAAGCCCTACCACATACCATCCCTGATGATGGATCAGACCCTCCAACCCTGACATAAACCTTCTTTCCTTAAGCTGCTTTTGTCAGACCTATCTCATGACCAAGAAAGCCATTAGTCTACAAATGCCTCCAAAGAGAAGGGGTGGAGACTCATGGCAAGAGAAATGTAGCTTACTGTATTGGGTCGGAGAATGCAATTATTTTAAATTTTTATGAGATTTTCCCTTTTGTTTCTATGGTTTTATAAAAATCCAAGAATGCTATATAATATAAAAGTTAATTCACATTCACAAAAATACATTTTCTAGAAAAAATTATTCCCTTATTCATTTATGAAATGAGATAAACTTCCAGAAAAAACAGTACTCATTTATTTTATCTTTAAATTGAGTCTGTACCTGCAAAGTTTTCAACTGAAAAAAAAGCACCTATATGCTGCTCACCAGGATTTTCCATGCAAATTATGGAAACTATCAATGAAAACACCCCTAGGAAATACCCCTAGCAAACATGTAGGACTGCCTGCAGATGTTGTCTCATTTTAATCTCTCCAAAATAAATAGTAAAACTCTAAATACTGACAAGAAAAACAACTAAAAAACAAATGGTCCCTCAGCTGATGCAGATGATCAGCCACCTGTAGAAACCATTTATTTCCCTGACAACCCCAAAGAACCTCAAAGTACTTTGGAACGGTTGTGGGTGGTTGTCCATTTACACAAAAGATACATACTTTCTGATTAGCCTGAGATTTGGACTCCTCAGAAGAAACTGCATTCTTCGCACGTTGCAGAGTGATGTCTTCAAAATCAGTACATTTTGGCAGAACTGCAAATTTCTCCCGAAGAGGCTCTGTCTGGACTCTGTTTTGAGGGGGAGCAGAATCACAGCAGAATTCTTTCAGCTTTTCCAGAGACTTTAAAACAATCCTGGGCCTCAGACATTTCTTTGGCTCTTGGGAAATAATAAGAAGAAAACATACTAATAGTATTTTGACTTCATTACATCAATTCATAATGTGCATGGAATTTTTCAGAAAGATATTCCCATTGGAGCAATGAACCTAACTATAACATGATAAAGAAGGCTGTTCAAGGTAAAGATGACAAATTGAAACACACCTGTAATTTCATTCCCCGATGAAATCCATTGAGAACTCCAGTAAAGGAGGCTGGCAAGAACGCTCAGCAGGAATGGCACTTGCCTGAGGACCTAAGTTCAATCCCCAGAAACAAGAAGGTAGGAGAGGACCAGCTCCTTCAAGTTGTCCTCTGACCTCCACAAACATTTGCACCCCATGCACAGACACACACACACACAATAAATTTTTTTAAAAAGTTGCCGGGCGGTGGTGGCGCACGCCTTTAATCCCAGCACTCGGGAGGCAGAGGCAGGCAGATCTCTGTGAGTTCGAGGCCAGCCTGGGCGCAAAGCTACACAGAGAAACCCTGTCTTGAAAAACCAAAAAAAAAAAAAAAAAAAAAGTAAATAAATGATGCAATTTTAATTGTAAAAAAACAGGACAATAGTCGAGCTTTCCTCCTACTTCTTTGGGATATAATGACAGACAGGACAGGGGTGGTGACAGCTGCAACTTAAATATCTGAAGCCAGACAGGGAATTGATGTGCAGTCACTAATTCAGCACACAAGATTCCTGCCCAGTCCTTAGAAAAGTAAGAACCAACTCTATTTGCAACACAGAATGCTCGAGACTCAGGAACTGGGAGACCATGGAGTCTGGAAACAGAAAGTTCTGGAATGAAAAGCCTGACTCAAAGTGAACTGATACAGATTCCTCCTAGATTCTGAGGGCCTCTCCCACTCAGCACAGACTGTGTTGCTGATTATCAACTATCCCAGGAAAATGGCAGGAGCCAAAGCTGGCTGCATGCTGAGACCTTGGCCTCACCAAGACCCACGAACCCAGAGCTTTCCTCTCCAGACCTAAGCCAGAAGGCGTGGCAATCTGCCCAGCTCAAGGCAATCACCCAGCGCAGACACACTTGCTTGCTCTCTTGCCTCCTCAGCGTTCGCATACCATATCAAAAATACATTCATTCATCAAGCCCTGTCCCAAAGCTACCTCTTCCATGAAACCCTGTATTTATTCTCCATCTTGAGAGTCTCCTTTCTTCCTCTGTGTTCCTGTAACAACACCATGACTCTCCCCAGCACCTACCACCATTATAAGCAATGGCTGTAAGCAGTTATTCGGTATCTGTTATTTATAAGCAAGCAATTGGTGTGAGAAGGGGTCTGCCATCCACTGGAACTCCGCAATATGCTGGGACACATTATTTCACCCCTGAGAGCAATACTATTAGGCAGCTGCTGCTAAGTGCAAGGGGAGTGGGGTTTGTGCCCCTTGTCATCTCTCTCTTTACCTTCCTTGTTAAGACAAAAATGCAGAGGACGGTAGTTGGGTGTTGCACATCTGTAAAAGTTTAAAACTTTTAGACTTACATAAAAACTTTTGGGGTGTACAAGTTATCGTGTCTTACATGAATCTCACAGCTGGGAAATTGTGTGCTTGACTCTTTCAAGTATATGAGCAAAGGCTAAATAGTTTTTCTATTAGCAATTTTAGTAAGATAGAATTCACATAGGTATATGTGAGGTTTGAAAATAACAACAAAATGGAACTTCTAGAAAGGGCCTGTATAAAACCTGAAGTTGAACATTTCCCTGAGACTTACAGCAATGTAGACACTATGGAAAAAAACAAAGATCTTTTTAGTAGAAAATAGGGCCACAGAAACTATCCAAAATAAAGCACAAGAGCAAGCCAGCCTGAAACCAAACAAAAGTTTCAGTGACTTGAGGGAAGGTCAACAGCAAGTCTCTCCCAGACTCTAAGAAGGAGGAGGAGCACACTGGAAGTATGTGAGAAATGACTGGACAAAAGAGTTTTCTAAATATATGAGAACAAAAAACTCACCAATCCAAGAAGTTTTGAATGAGTTCTAACCAGGACAAAAATCAATTCGCTGACTTAATAACTAGGGTAAAGTTCTAAAAGTATGAGAAAATGAGTAAGAAAGAGAAAAATCTTAAAACTGGTGGGGGGGGGGGGAGGGTTATGCAAAAAAAAAAAAGTCTATAATTAAATCAACCACCTCCAACAATAAATACCTGATCTGAATATACCAACAATGACTAAGATAGCTGTCAGTTGAACTGTTTTGTGGTTTTGAAACAAGGCAAGGCCTCAAGTAGCCCAGGCTGTGTCTGAACACGGTGGTGTTGCTGAGGATGACCCTGAACTCCTGATCCTCCTACCTCTACCTCCTCAGTGCTGGAATTACAGGTATGAGCTATCACGTACAGTTTATGCAAAGCCAGGTCTCCAGGGATGCTAGACAAACTCTACTAACAGAGCTATAGCCCCTCCACGACTAAGAAATTTGGAAGACAAACTCACTCTTTCTTCTAAATTTCTGATTTTTCCAAATATAATTTACTGGATTTAGTGAGGTTCCTGTTATTCTAAAAATGTACTTTGGGATATCTTCTGCAGTGTACATTTTACCTCATTTTTCTCAAATATACATAAAGGTTTCCTGTGAGTGTTAAGACTTTCCTTCTGGTTTGTAGCCCAGGTATAAAAAAAGGAACTTATAAATGGAAGTCTAGAAATGAGGTAGATCTATGCAGAGGAATACTGCCAGGATATAATAAAAGGAATATGGAGTAGTCAAATTATAGACACAGAAGACAAGATGGTCATGGCCAAGGGTTGGAGGTATGGGAAATAGAGACATTCTGTTGACCAGTGCAGAGTTTCAGAAGGTGAAATATGAAAGTCTTCTGGAGATGGATAACAAGAAGATTTCATTTGGTGACTGTAAGGTGGCTCCCTGGGTAAGGGTGCTTGCCAATAAGCCATACAACCTGAGTTCAATGTCAGAATTCACACAATGGAAGGAGAGAAATGACTCCTGGAAATTGTCCTCTGACCTCATCTACCCATGTACACAGGCACACACACAAATAATAAATAAATCATTAACAAATGTTTCATCTTTATAACCAAGATTTAAAAGATAGCTAAAGGGTCTGGAGAGATGGTTCAGTGGTTAAGCACACATATGGCTCTTTCATCAGAGAACCTGAGTTCAATTCCCAGCAACCATATCAGGTCCTCCAGGAGGATTCCACATCTCATGCCTCTGCAGGCATCTACACTTACACTTACACTTACACACACACACACACACACACACACACACACACACACACACACACACACCACTTTTAAAATATACAACAAAAGTAAACAAAAGAGAAACTTGGAAGAACTGTAGCCAAATTAGAGAACTGACTTCCACTGTGGCCCTAGCCCCCCAAATCCCAGCACAGGCACAACAAAGATCCTTCTCCATAGAGAAAAACAAGGCTCAACACTCCAGCGGCTTCCTCTGCCCTCTGGGGAACCCCAGCAACTGAGAAGACTCATTCCCTAACACTCACCAGGGTTGCCAGATGTTACTGGGGTATTTTCTTCTTCCTTCTCTGGAACTTTCTTTGCTCTCTTCTTAATGGGCCCATCATTCCCCGATGACCTCTTCCTGCTGTCACCTTTTGTAACCTGTATCAGGAAGGTTGGAAATGGTGTGTTAATGCCATTCTAAGGTTTGATATCATTAAACCCTGCTTCAGAATGAAAGGAAGTCCCCTGCCTTCCACTCTTCACAGTGATCTACTGTTTTTGCATCAGAGATAGAAACTGGCAGGTGTAGCCTCTCCTCACTGCCATCCTGCTGAAATTAAGTGGTGTTCTCCACCTCTCCTACTTACGTATGTTAAATAAAATACCTCTACAAGATAAACAAAAAATATATTTTCAAAATGCCAAATTATGGGGGAAGGTGAGATAATAAACAAACGATGTATTTTCTGTTCCAAAAGATGTCCTAGGACTATTTGTTGACAGGTAATCTAAGAAAAACTTAAAACTTTTCCACAATATTCTGTCAATGGTAGGTGCAAAATAAAATCTTGGTGAATTCATGAAATGCAGATCATCCTCAAGAGAGGTGGGGTGGGGGGAACCAATCAGTGTAAGGAAGAAAAATAAATGAAAGGGGTTAAGATTCTTAAATCGCTTTACACCTGCATTAAAATGGGGTGGATAGCTAAAAGCCAATCTACAATCATCTTCTACATCCTCAGTCTGGGAAATGACCCAGTCCAGGGCCTAAGGCACCCTGGGCAAGTGTGCCACATCCCCAGTCTGTGTGGGAAATATAACAAGGAACCTCTAGGCCGGGCGGTGGTGGCGCACGCCTTTAATCCCAGGACTCGGGAGGCAGAGCCAGGCGGATCTCTGTGAGTTCGAGGCCAGGCTGGTCTACAGAGTGAGTTCCAGGAAAAGGCGCAAAGCGACACAGAGAAACCTTGTCTCCGGGGGGGAAAAAAAAAAAAACAAGGAACCTCAGGACCGCTCGCCCTTGAGCAAGTGTGCCACATCCCCTGAACTTGTGAATTTGTGGCAACATCACTATGGGTTTTTGGTTTTGCTTTGCTTTGCTTTGAACTATTTGAAGGGCTGCAAGCAACAGGAAGTAGCCAAAGATAAGCCATCTACGGGAACTTCTTCCACCCAAATGCTTATATCACACTTTACACTGGGAAGCTGCACAGTTGAAGAGTGTTCCGGCACAGTGATCTGAAATACAGAGCGATGCTTTTGAATTCTGAAAAAACTAGCCTCAAAGACAGCTTCGTTCTAGTCAGCCAAGCAAACATATGTAAGTAAAGTTCCTCTTCAACCATCAATATAATAGGGAAAATGTAAAGAAAAGAAGGGATGATGGAGTTTAAAAGATGTATCCTGGACCTGCCAGACCCGGACATTCACCAAAATAGAAGTTTCCGCCTCAGGTTCCGGTTTACGACAGGTGGCAACAAGACCTCAAATCTATTACTTCTAATCGGGTAATTAAAGCCTTTCAACTAAACATGGACCCGCAGATGTCACCACCTTCTCCTCCCCCGGCTCCGCCCCTTCTTAGTACTCCCCACCATTAGGCTCGCCACACAGCTTCCACTTCCGGCCGCCGAGACTCACGCGCCCGCCCCGCCCCTGACCCCGCCCCTGTCCGCCTGGACCCGCCCACCCCTGGCTCCGCCCCGTCGAGGACAGAACCCCGCCGCGGCGGCCTCCGCCGAGGCGGCACAGTGGACGCTGGGGGCGCTGAGGAGCCGCCCTCTACCTTCTCCGCGGGCTCCGTGGGGGACGCGGTGGATCTCAGGCTTCCGGCAGACTGGAAGAACCGGCTCAGAACCGCTTGCCTCCCCGGGGCTTGGGCGGCGGCAGAAAGGCCGCCCGACGCGGACTTCCTGCGGGGCATCGCAGGGTGCAGAAGAGCAAGCCCGCCGGGAGCGCGCGGCCGCTCTACCCCGCGCCTGCGCGCGCGCACGCCGCGACCCGTTCGGGGGCCGGCCTTAGTGGGGGCGGGGCCTCGAGGCACAAATAGGGGGCGGGGCGGAGCCTCTGGGGGCGGGGCCCGTGAGCGCAAATAGGGTGCGGGGCAGGGCCTGGCGGGGGCGGAGCCTCTGAGGCCCAAATAGGATGTGGGGCGGGGCCTGGTAGGAGTGGGGCCTTTGCTGCGCAAGTGGGAAGCGTCGCCTCGTGGCGGCGCCGGCAATTTTCGCGCCAAACTCGGAGGGGAACCCCAGCGTGCGGGCTGCCGCAGAGGTGATCGCCGCTGCTATCATGGTTCGACCGCTGAACTGCATCGTTGCCGTGTCCCAGAATATGGGCATCGGTAAGAACGGAGACCTGCCCTGGCCTCTGCTCAGGTACTATGGCTGGACTGGGTTCGGGACACCGAGGCGGTTCGCTGAGTCCCCCCACCGAGCCCTTGGCGGAGACAGTGGTGAGCGGGTAGGCCCGTCGGCTGCAGCCCCTGCCGGTACCCGCGGTGATCCCCCTGCTGTGACAGCCTTTGCCCAGAAGCGCCCTGGCCTGGAGCAAAGTCCGGTCACTGGGCAGCACCACCCCCCGGGCTTGCATGGGTCGCCGCTGAACTGGAACCTGAGCACACGTGACAGGGTGCCTGTTAACGCAGTGTTTCTCTAACTTTCAGGAACGAATTCAAATACTTCCAAAGAATGACCACAACCTCTTCAGTGGAAGGTAATTTGGGGTTAAGTCATGAGGATTTTAGAGCTTGTATGAAGCAAGATTTCCAATGCAGACCTGTAAGTGGGAAGTCTCCCGTGGGAATCTGGGATCTTTGTTTCTTGGCAGAAATGTTTGTGCGGTTCCCAAAGTTTATTAAGCATCCTCTTTAAAATACATGCATTTGAAATTTTTTTAGCAAGTGCATATAACGGGACAGAATGGGCAGCAAAATTTACCGCTTTGAATATGGAGACCAGAGCCGGTATTTAGAATTGTTGCTGGAAGACATAAAACTTGAGTAAATGGAGAAGAATGCAGGGGACAAGAGGCTAAAAAATAAGTAAACACTTATGTGATACTCTGTTGGATTTCCAGAGGCAGAAAGATACAGTGGGATGAAGGCTATGATCTTCAGTGGGGCAGTCTGGGGGACTGACTTGAAATAAAAGAATGGGGGCTGGAGAGATGGCTCAGAGGTTAAGAGCACTGACTGCTCTTCCAAAGGTCCTGAGTTCAATTCCCAGCAACCACATGGTGGCTCACAACCATCTGTAATGAGATCTGGTGCCCTCTTCTGGCCTGCAGGCATACATGCTGTATACATAATAAATAAATAAATCTTTAAAAAAAAAAAAAAAAAAAGAAATAAAAGAATGGGGAGTGGTGTGCAATTATAAGGCAGTTTCCAGTTGCTTGTAGGACATTCATTGTAATTTCTCCCTAACAGACAAGTTTGTTTATTATAGTAGGAGAGGAATGGCTCTCAACCTGTGGGTCACCACCCCTTTGCGGGTTGAATGACCCTTTCAAAGGGGTGGCCTATGACCATTGGAAAACACAGATATTTACATTATGATTCATAACAGTAGCAGAATTACATTTATGAAGTAACAACAAAATTTATGGTTGGGGGTCACCACAACATGAGGAACTGAATTAAAGGGGGCACAGTGTTAGGAAGGTTGAGAACCACTGGCATTGAAAATGGGGAAACAGAAGTCAGCAGAGCAGATATTTAACAACATTTATAGGACAGGTAGAAAATATAGTAGGTCACTGGTAGATAAGTTGGCAAATGCCTGTAACACAGTCTACTCTCAAGAATCTAAATATCAGGATTGGGGAAAAGGTTCAGTCAGTAAAGTTCTGAGGGCCTGAGTTCAAATCTCAGCACCCAAATAACAAGCTGGACACAGTGACACACATTTGTAATACCAACACTAGGGAGGCGGGATGTAAAGATCCCTGGAGCTTGTTCTCTAGCCAAATTTATGGGCCCCAGATTCAAGGAGAAATGTTGTCTCAAGAAAATAAAGTGAAGCTGGGCGGTGGTGGTGCACGCCTTTAATCCCAGCACTCGGGAGGCAGAGGCAGGCGGATCTCTGTGAGTTCAAGGCCAGCCTGGTCTACAGAGTGAGTTCCAGGAAAGGTACAAAGCTACACAGGGAAACCCTGTCTCGAAAAACCAAAAAAAAAGCAAAGAAAAGAAAGTGAAGACACCTAACTATATACTGCCTGGCCTGGCCTGTACATACAGGTGCACAATGCACACAAAATAAAAACTAATTTTTTCAAGGTTTTTTTTTTTCTTTCTGATGTGTGTTTTGAGAGTTCTTATATACATGTATGTACAAAATATGTGTGCCTGGTTTCCACAGAGACCAGAAGAAGGTGTCAGCTCCTGGCACTGGAGTTAAAAGCAGTTGTAAGCTTCTAGATGTGGGTGCTGAGAACCAAACCCAGATCCAGCTTTTAACAGCTAAACCATCTCACTAGCCCCAAAATCATTTTTCTTAAAAGTATCCTGAATATAATCTGGTAATTGTTCCTGTTCCTTTGGTCCAACTGTCTGACACTGAAGGGTTTTTTTCCCCCAAGTAATTAAATAAAAGATAGAAGCTATATATATATAGTTTTCATAACAGTACTTTTTAGATGTGTTTTTTATTCTTTGAAAGTTTTATCCAGAGTATATCCATTTACCTTCCCACTCCTTGTGCCCCCTTCTCCCTCCCTAATTCATGTTCTAGTTGTTATTAATAACCTTGGGTGTGACCATCCACTGGGGCATGAGCAATCTACAACCAGCCCAAGCTAAGAATGACTCCTCTCACAGCAGCCCTCAACTACACAATAGCGGTCCAGTAGGGGGTAGGGCCTCAGAAGCCCCTCCTCCGTGCTGGAATTTTGGACTGGCTTAATCTGGTGCAGGTAAGGAAGGAAAGCTGCTGTGAGTTGGTGCATACAGACATCAGCCATGCGTGTCCAGAAGTCAGTCTTGGACATCTCTCTCCCTCTTCCCCCAACTCTTGCATTCTTTCCGCCCCCTCTTCCGCAATAATCCCTGACCTTTGAATCATGGAAGCTCATATAGATGACCCAGAGAACACTAGTTTTAGATGGTGAACACAAGTTCTGAGTCTTTAACCCTCTCAAGAGTTCCAGGAGGAGAAATTATTTTCTCCATTTTAGAATTTAATAAAGCATATGGGGTTACTTAGCAGATGACAAAATCCCATCAGCCTGAGCACTTTGAACCAAAATTATGCATGGTTGCAATTGACTAAAACCTAAGTAAAAGATATAAATTGGGTAAAACCAAAGGAAACATAGTACTATATTTAGTTAATGACTACTAAATCTGAAAGTTGGGTGAAGCTGTTTGCCTTAATTTTTCCATTTTTGGTTGTGAGCCTAGCCTTTAACGGCTGAGCCATATCTCCAGCCCGCTTTAATATTTCTAAAGGAAAGCCACTAGATGTCACTATGACGACCATATCCTGCCTATGTGTGACACTGAAAATACATGTGTATTTTCAAAGATATCCTTTCTGCTTGATTTTGTAGGTAAACAGAATCTGGTGATTATGGGCCGGAAAACCTGGTTCTCCATTCCGGAGAAGAATCGACCTTTAAAGGACAGAATTAATATAGTTCTCAGTAGAGAGCTCAAGTAAGTGATATGCAGTCACCACGAGAAAACTGTGATCTATGTCCCAGGGCATGAATCAGTACATAATAGAATGAAGAAGCTGATGAACATCTGCGTGTGTGCGCGCATCCGTCCATACGTACATGCATGACTGTGTGGGCAGGGGCACATGTGCACAGCCATGCACACAAAGCTGAACATTGCCCTTCCATGTCCTTCCTCAGAATCTGTCCACCTCGTTTTCTTGAGACAGGGTCTCTCACTGTGATCTGGGGCTCACATATTAAGCTAGGCTAGCTGGCCAGCAAGCTCTGAGAATCCTTCTGTCTCTGCTGATCCAATGGTAGGATCACGGGTGTATGCCCCCAAGCCCAGCTTCTTTGTACCAGGTGCTGGGGTCAAACTCAGATCCTCATCCCTGCACAGCAGATACTATACTATGTTACCTCCCCTAATAAATGACTCACTATCCAAACAAGTGACACCATCAGAATTCAACCCAACACCCTGAAGACACTAAAGCCTTAATCTACCAACTTAGACCACTCAGCCACACTACCTCACTGAATATCTTAATATCTCAAAGAGGCGACAAAAACCGAGTGGGCAGATATGCCACATGGCAACATAATTCTGTTCCTTAAGTGGGTGATTTTCTCACCTTAAAAATTAGGGGAAAAAGCAGGGCAGTGGTAGCGCACGCCTTTAATCCCAGCACTCAGGAAGCAGAGGCAGGCGAATCTCTGTGAGTTCGAGGCCAGCCTGGTCTACAGAGTGAGTTCCAGGACAGCTAGGGCTGTTACACAGAGAAACCCTGTCTCAAAAAAATGGAAAAAAAAAAAAATGTGTGTGTATGTATTATATATGTGAAAAAATGTTAATAGTTTTGCAAGTTCCTTTAAACCATTATTCCATAGACCTAGCTATCAGTTATTTAATACGATTGATAAATTATTCCTAGTTTCACAGAAATAAAAATGCCTGTTTTGAGTTTCAGCAAATTTAAATGGTTATTCCATTTTGGAATCAATTCTAAATGCAAGAAGATATGAAGGACTTGCAGTCATGGTCATGTACTCTATTATCTCTAGTTAGCCACAACACCCTGACACTTTGTGTTCTTTGTACAGTGTCAGAAGGTAAAATGTTTCAAAGTATTGAAGTGGTCTTAGAATCTTCAGAGGAAATGTCGGTAGTTGGCATCTAACATTTGAATAAATAATCCCCTCATCATGACTGGAAATGTCATAAGAACTGGAGGTGGTTTGGGCCTGGAGAGATGGCTCAGGGGTTAAGAACACTGGCTGCTCTTCTAGAGGGCCTGAGTTCAATTCCCAACACCCACATGGCAGTTCACGATTGGCTGTAACTCCAATCCAAGGGGATTTGATACCTTCTCTCCTCCAAGGGCACCAGGCTTGCACATGGTACACAGACATGTAGGCCGACAGTTAAAATTAATGAAATTAATTTGTAAAACAAAAAAAAAAAAGAACAAAAAAACAATTGGAGGTGGTAGGGTAGGTGGATAATATTGACTGTGAAGTCAAGTCCAGTAGTTTGACCATGACAATGACTTTGCTATCGTTGTTGTTATAGTCTTAACTTCCTAAAATAACTTCTTGAATCTTACAGGGGTTTGTTTTAGTTGGGATTTTTTTGGTCAACAAGTGACTAAAATCTAAGGGAACATTAGGATTCAAGATGTTGACTATTCGTCCTTAAATTAATATGTCGTCACCAAAATCAGCACAGAGTCTTAGAACACTGGGCACTGTTTGCTGAACAGTAGTCAAGAAGGTCACTCCCATGTGTTTGATTCAGGATCCAACCAGAGAAACAGATGCAGTAGAAGCTATAGTTGTGTGTAGTTGTGGGGAATTGGCTTTCATGGTTATGGGGCGTAGTGACATGAATCTGAAACTTCAGAGAGCTGACTGTCCAGGAGAGCAAGCTAGGACTTCCCAGGAGGTGCTCTGGTTGCTTCTGGGAAGTCACGGCTTTACTGTTTGGTGTTTTGAGACAAGGTTTCTCTGGGTAGCCCTGGACATCCTGGAATTTGCTCTGTAGACCAGGCTGGCCTCAAACTCAGAGATCTGCCTGCCTCTGCCTCCCAAGTGCTGGGATTAGAGCATGGGCGACCCAGCTTTTCAGCTCCACTCTTAAGGCTTTCCAATGGTTTGAAGCAAAGTCAACTCATAGATGTCATCACACTTCCAAGACACGAGTTAGTCCTGGGAGGGAAAACGCTTTCCATCACTGCATGCTAAGAGATTTTTATGTAGGTTCTCCCACACCCCTCCTATACTGGCATAGATTAAAAACTAGAAGAAAATACACAAACATTCGCGTTGGTTGCCTCTAGCAATTTGGAATATGTGATGTGCCTCTTACCATCTGCCTCCATCTTTATGCTACTCCTTGTCCTGGTTGCTAGGATATTCTGATATTCACTCTCCTTGAAAAATTACACATTCACAAGCTATATTGCCATTCCCAGAGACTTTTTAATAACATATTCTTGAATACTACTCAAGTTTATTTATGGCCAGCTTGAGCTAAAATAAACATAAAGAACTCTCAGTAGGGGACATGTTCAGTTGAGCTAGCGTTTCTTCTCAAATGATGAGTCTAATTTCTTCTTTATGACCCCCCTATGGCGTGTGTAATTGGATTGTGTTGCTTTTCATGTATTTATATATAACGTTTAGTGGAGTACTTTGCTTTTTTTTTTTTAAGGCTGAAAAAATTTAAAGTCCTTATTATTGAACAGGCTAGAGAAGTTGGAATATCATCAGTTAGTGAAAGATCATATTAGGGTCCATCTTTTTCTTCAGTCTTCAGCTTCTCCACTTGATTGTCGCTTTATGTATATTCAGAGCACCTCTTGTGGACCAGGCACCGCTGGGTCTTTCTTTTATCACAGGACAGGCATTACATGTGGCAATTGCTTGTGCAGGCTTTTACTGGTACTTGCGATTTTAGCCACTAACCTCATATGGGAAACGCTGAATCGCCAAGGTAACCGCAAAAGTCACTAAGGTCTGGAGAAAGCATACTTTTTTGTACCGCTTTCTAGGCAGTAAATAGAGCTGGAAGGGAGATGATGAGACCTGCTGACAGGTATGAGGCAGTGGTGATGGTGCATGACACTAAGCACCAGAAGTCACGGGTTTATATGCCTTAGAAGAGTGCATTAGTTTATTTGGGGGAGGTGATATTTAAAGTTTTTAGTAGGGTGAGACACGGTGGCACACACATGTAATCCTATCACTTACAAGGCTTTGCCATGAATCTTTTGAGATTAAGGTCATTCTGGGCTATAGAGTGAGACCCTGTCTCAAAAATAACAACAACAAAAAATTATATATGAACCAAGGAATGCCTTTGGTAACCAAAAGATAAATCAAGTTTTGCATCAATGCAGTATCCTTGAGATTATCAATGGGAGATCCTGTTTGCCCCGTGATGTAACACACTGCAAATTGTCTCCATAAAAGCTAGTCTAAATTTCATGGTGTAATAATTTTATTACGATTCCTCTACCATATTCTTTCTAGTGATGGCAATTTCCTCTTCTCAAGGTCTTTCCCTCTGATCTACACAGGTAGCCCATTAAGCATTGACCTCCCCTCCCTGCTCTGGCTCCAAGTAGCTTTGGGATTTAGGCAGGTCATGAGTAAAGCTTGCTGAACTTCTACTGTATTACCTACTAAGTGAGATTAATAATAGTAGCTCTTAGTATAAGACAAATTGGTAGATGGTCTTATTAATTTAAAAAAAAAAAACGGAGCCAGATATTGGGGTGAAAACTGAAAGATCAGAGAAACAGAAAGAAGCCAGCCACATTCTTACTGCTAAGAAATCCTGAGCCAAAGAGATCTACTTCCTGTATACTCACGCCTATATAACTTTCTGTGCTTTGCCATCTCACTTCCTTTCTCCGCCCAGCTCTATCACTTCCTGTCTGTCTGTCCAGACCTCCAGACCTCTATGGTTAACTAGCCCTGGGATTAAAGACGTGTGCCACCATGCCTGACTCTATTCCCAGTGTGGCCTTGAACTCACAGAGATCCAGATGGATCTCTGCCTCCTGAATGCTAGGATTAAAGGCATGTGCTACCACTGCCTGACCTCTGTGTCTAATATAGTGGCTGGCTTTTTCCTCTGATCCCCAGATAAGCTTTATTGGGGTACACAAATAAAATATCCCACATCTTAGGATGATTTTTTCAAGATTCATTGAATTTTGCATGTTGTTTCTGATATACAAAAGGTACCTGTTATGGTTTGCAGTTTTAAATGTCCCCAGAAATCTCCTGTGTAAAAAGTTTAGTTATCAGCTGATAGGCTTTTTCGGGGTGATTGAATTATGAGGGCTCAAAGTAACTTCATCAATGGCTTGATAGATAAGTTCACAGCTGAATGGAGATGGTGCCTCCCTGGAGGAAATGGATCATTTAGAGCAAGCATAGCTTTGGAAAAAAAATCTGCTCCCTGTCTGCCTTGAAATGAGTCTTGTTGCCTACCACGTTTCCTGACATGGTTGTTCTTCCTTACCTCAGGCCCAAAGCAACAGGAGCTAGTGAACTGTAGGTCAAAGCAAGCAATGAGCCAAAGTAAACGGCTCCATCCTTAAGTTGACTTGTTCAAGGTTTGTGTCACAGAAGAAATGACCCAACACAGTGTTCGGCAGATACCAGCTCCTAGCCCATCCCTCAACTTCACTGCCTTGGAGCTTTTAGAAAATATTAATATTAGGAGCTGGGAGAGGAGTTATAGTGTAAGGCCCTGGGTTTGAGACCTAGCACCATAAAAGTGAACATTAATGGTACTTGATTTCTCTTCATAGTACATATATCTTTGCCTTTTAACATTAGTGGGCTCAGAGTGAGTAAGCTCAAGATCTTATTTTTTACATTAGCAAATCACTTTATTTTTTTCATTTCTTGAATCTTAAGACATAAATAAATAAGTCTAATAAATCTCTCCTACCTAAATCAACTCATACCCTCTCCTTTACTCCAGATGACCAGAGACTACCCTATAATCTTCATTTTGAACATCACCTCAAATTACTGTTTTCCTACCCTCAACTTTCTCTGAGTTTTCATGTGTTGAATAACTTCACTGTAGCCTACAACAATTTCTAAGGAAACATATCATTTCCATGCTTTGAGACATGTCTTAGTTGACACTCAGCTAAGGAGTCATGCACCATCATTACTCCACCACAAATTATGCAGTATGCCTGAACCATATCCTCTATACATCTTGGTATTCTGCTTTCATGCTTTTTTTTTTTTTTTTTTTTTTTTTTTTTTTTTTTTTTTTTTTTTTTTTTCCAGAGCTGAGGACCGAACCCAGGGCCTTACGCTTGCTAGGCAAGCGCTCTACCACTGAGCTAAATCCCCAACCCCTCATGCTTTTTGAACACTGTAAACTAAGGCGGAGTTTTTCTGTCCCGATTGCCCAGGCCCAAATAACCGATTCAGAGGCCGAATATGAATTATAAATGCACAGCTGATAGCTCAGGTTTGTTTCTAGCTAACTCTTGCACTTAAATTAACCCATAATTCTCATCTATGTTTAACCACATGGGCTTTGTACCTTTTCTCAGTATGGCATTCTATCTTGCTTCTCTGTGTTGGCCAGCGACTCCTGACTCCACCCTTCTCCTTCCCATCATCTTTAGTTTGGTTACCTCGCCTATATTTCCTGCTTGGCTGCTGGCCAATCAGCTTTTTATTAAGCCAATTTGACAAATCTTTACAGTGTACAAGAGGATTATTCCACAGCATTTCTCCCTTTTAATCTAATTAAAAAGGAAGGTTTTAACTTTAACATAGTAATATTATATACAACAAAGACAATTATCAAGTAAGAATTACAGTTACGATGTCTATTTGTATTTGGCAAAATACTCTATTTTATCTTTGTGAGTCCAAAATTTTATATCTAATATCTTTTATCATAACTAAGGAAAACTGTAATTATAACTATCTAGTCTTCAACTCCATCAAAGATCCCAGGAGGGTAAAATGTTACCTAACGACAAGGTCATCAGGCTGTCTGGACAGTTACCCAAAGTTCCTCTGAAATGTTGGGGCATCTAACTCTGGCCTATAGGCCTAGCATATCTGACAGACTTTCCTATGAAGCAGTGAATTTTGAAGGGCTGTCCTACCTTGTCTTGGCAAAGTTAGGCAGTTGCCTTTCTTGTGTCCTGTTGGTCGTTTGGACAGTAACTGTCAGCAATTGAGGCAAGGGCAGATTCTTTGCCCACATGACTAACTTTTGCCATAAAGAAAACAAACTCCATATGGAGTTTCTTTGATCCCCATCATCCTCTTTGAAGTAATGGTGCTGCCAGGAGCAGAAATGTCTCACTGTTGAGAAAAGTCTAAGTTTTTACAACATTTTAGATTCCATATTCTGCAGATCTTTGAAGTGTTTGAAGATTGCCTAGCTATCTGAAATATCTGTATGACCTTGAAAACCTAACTGACCTGACTATAAGTTTGCTATTATAGATGACTATTAATCTGTATTTCTTAATTATATATCACATTTTTAAATGAGCTGCATAAACATACCCTAAACAAGAGTAGAAATATACATACAGTATAACAAAATTAAATTTGTATCAAAATCCATACTAATGTAAAATATATAAGATTAATAGTTGTTTTTTGGATTAAAGTAGGTTCAATAATCTATCCTTTTGTCCTATCATTTCATCCATTCCCACTGGAGATTTTTCAGGGGGTCTTCCTCCATCAAACCTGATTTTTCTTAATCTAGAATGAATCTAGAGCCTCTCATTTCCTGTAGAAATAAAAGCAGAACCTCTTTCCCAAAGTAACATATCTTTTGACTTAAATTTTGAAGTCAAGATATTTTTAAAATATACAGGTAGGTTTAATCTAGCAGCTTTCATAATCGAATGTCTCTTTTTTTTTTCTCCTTTAATAACAGTCTTTAATGGGTAAATGAACATGAATTTCTTTTTTATTAAAGAGAAAATATGATCAAGATGTTAATATAATTTATATAAGCTTAATTAAAACATTCTAGAAAGTGGTAACCACCTTGTATTTTTCCTATCTTGCATGAAGGTACACATATCCTATACACACACACACACACACACACACACACACACACACATACACACACACACACACACATTTCTTAACCTCAATGCAATGAAGATCTCAGGATACTATTGTTAAGATCTTTGGAATATCAAGTAAAGCATTTAGGAGTCAATGTTCTTCAGACTCTTTTAATGATAACAAACATCGGTGACACGTGATACATATATGTGTGTGTGTGTGTGTGTGTGTGTGTGTATATATATATATATATATATATATATATATATATATATATATAAATCATACGTGCCTTCTGGGGAAATTTTGACTTGGTGGGAAGGAAGGAGTTAAGAGCTTCTATGGGAAGCTTTAGAAAAAAAGACAGATTTCTGACCCCCCCCCCCCCGCCCCCCCCTCCAAGGCAGACACATCAACTTTCTATGAGTGGGTTCAGAAGACTGTGGGTCTAAAATGTTATTTTTTGGGGGTATCAAAAAAAATTTAAACCAACCAATTTAGATTCTGCCCTTGGAGAAGAAGCCAAGATTTCAGGATCAGTTGCTAGATTCTAGGATTCATAAGCAAAAAGTCACTGAAATTCAAGTGGAGTTTGTGTTTTTCAGTAGATATAAACCACTATGAAGGAAAGATAAAGAAAAACTTCGGTCAGATATAAGATGATTCACCTTCCTTATTTTTTAATCCTCTACTCTTCTCTCCAAGCTGGCTATAGTCCTATTAGATTATCCAAGTAATCAACTAGAGCTTCAAACACTTCCCTTCACCATTGGGAAGGGAAGGATTTGAGTTTGTTCAGTCTTTAGACTGGATAGATTAACTAATCAAGTACCCAGAGGTTACTAGAAGACATTCCAGTTTCTTTTTCCATGGACCCCTTTTCTAATTGGGAGCATGAAAGTTCTTCAGCTGTGAGTGACTGTAACTCAGACTCTGGACCCTAGAGAAGGTTCTAGGGAAAGTAATAGAAAAAGAAGGTCCTCTGAAGCAGTGGGCTCCCTTCCTCTTGAGTTCAGGACTTCACTGGTGATTTCTTCTTAGTCCCTGGTGTGTACTGGGGATCAAACCCAGGGCCTCGGGCATGCCAAGCCCACGAAGCATCCCTGTCACCCTGGAGACCATGTTGCTCTCAGCTCTTACATTCTTGCTCTCAGATTGCACGATTCAGCTCCTTAATTACCATCTCTGGTTCTAGTTCATCTCCTATAACCATCCTAACTTGAGCGTTCTGTTAAACCCCTGACCAGACCAGTCACGGACCATTTATTAACTGAATCATCTCCTCCCATGACTGAATCTTTATGTCTTCTACTTCCCATTCTGTCCTTCAACACCATCATATCCTGTCTTGTCCCAGAAGGTACCCTCATCCCTTTGGCAATAGCTCTTTTAACTCACCTTGGCCTCTGTTTTTTGTAATCCTCCAGCATAAGTCCAAATGTATTCTTTGCTCTATCTTAATTCCCTTCCATATGACAAAGAGTAGAAAGAGTAAAATAGAAATCAGGAAGAGAAGGAGAATGCAACTAGGAAGATGAATAGTCCCCATTAGTTCTTGATTAATCATTGTTACAACTACACGTTCAAAGACAATTATGTAAGTAGTCCTTTTGAAGCACCAGCTAAGAACTTGACATTGAATTAATAATTTCTGTTCTCTTTCTAATCACTATGTATAAGTTTCCTCATTTATAAAGGGAATTGCAACTCCCCTCACCATCAAAATAAAAAGAGTCTCAAAATTTGAGCTAGTTAGCAGAAGCAGTAAAGGTATTTAACTTTTTCCTTTCTGAGTATTATTAGTTATGTAACTGGTAACAAGCTCATTCTCAAATACTTTCTGTCCTTTCTGAGTTGTTCAAAATATGAAAGTCTTTCCCCATATACATTAACAGTCTGAACACTGCTTCAGATTCTTCTAGTCATTTGTATATTCTGTCTAATATTTAATCACGACAGTTTCAGACTGACAGAAGGAACCGTGCGTTAAACAGCTGCATACCCACCACCTGGATTCTGCCACTAAGTCTTTGCTGTGTTGACTTTGTCACCGTCGTCATCCATCCAGCTGGTGTTTACACATTTCAAAATAACGGGCAGAATGAGTGTATTTCCCAAAGTCCTTCCCGGGTATCATTAGCTAGAATTCCGTGTTGCTCTAGCATGTTGTTGTGGTAAACGTTAATATAATGAGACGCAGGAGTCGTAAGTGCACATTAGCTAAGTGTTGACAAAGACTTACACTCACATAACTCAGCCCTATTAAACCTCTAGAAAGTCCCTCATTCTCCATCCCAGGTAACCTTCACCACACAACATCATGGACAACTACTGTTGAGATTGTTTTTCACTGTAGATACAATGAGATGTCGCATACAGTTTTGTGAACCATTCGCGTATGAAATGTAGAGTGGATGCTGGACATTGGCCATACTTTCTAAGTACTTTGTGTTTCAAGCCAGGCGGTGGTGGCGCATGGTGCATGCCTTTAATCCCAGCACTCAGGAGGCAGAGCCAGGCGGATCTCTGTGAGTTCAAAGCCAGCCTGGTCTACAGAGCAAGATCCAGGACAGGCACCAAAACTACACAGAGAAACCCTGTCTAGGGAAAAAAAAAAAAAGAACTGGTTTTCATAATTCATTTTGTACTGACTGCTTCCAAGTCAGATTATTTGACTAGTATGGACAGGATTTTACAATAATCATAATTTTTTTTTTTTTTTTAAACCTCAGGGAACCACCACAAGGAGCTCATTTTCTTGCCAAAAGTCTGGACGATGCCTTAAAACTTATTGAACAGCCAGAGTTAGCAAATAAAGTAGACATGGTTTGGATAGTTGGAGGCAGTTCTGTTTACAAGGTAAGCAGAGTTATGTGTAAGTAGAAAGAAATATCCTTCCATACTTCTAACCATGACTGTAGGAAGCAGCACATTACCCAGCTGTAAGCTAGACAAATTGTCAAAGTGAATTATATGACACTGTCATGCAAAATAAATACAAACATAAATGTAAAATTTATACTTCATACCAGTCTATTCTCCCTTTATTGATGTTTTATATGTAAAACCATATATTTCTTTATGATGTTGTGACATATTTTATATGCTTTAGTCATATTAACCCCCTACTGCCTCTTCTTCCCAAATACACCTACCCCAAGTCACCAACTCCCATCAATTATAATGCCTTATTTTTAAATTGGCAAATCATCAGATGATCTGAAACATGCATTTGTAGAGTGGATAAATTGAGATATATCACCTTGCTGATTTTTGATGATGAGAACACTTAAAATCAACTCCCAGCAATTTCAAGAGCACAGTAAGACATTGTCCCTAATCACAGTCACTGTGCAGCTCAGTGGATCCCTAGATCTTACTCTTCCTGTGTTCTTCCCACATGCTAGTCATTTTCAGTTCCAAATACTGGTTGTTTCCAGTTTAAAGATCAGCCTGCTTTCTTGAGCATCGTGCTCATATGACATAACTTTCTAGCTGTGCCCTGGGTGGGCTGCTGTGCCTTTGGCTCCAGGATAAATGCTGTACTGAGAAGAGCATGGACTCTCAGTCAGATAGAAAGCTCGTCCTCAGCAACCTCCATGCAGTGTAAGGGCAGAGGGGGATGGCATGTTTTATATTCTAGTGGAAAATAGTGTGTGAAGCAGAAAATATGCTTTTCCTGGTGTGGTTTGGTACCAAGTGACTCCCAGTTTGTTTGTTTGGATATTCTTTGAAAAGATTAACATTTATGAGGAAGAAAAATCAGTCCTGCCCCTTTGGGGCATATGTTAATATATACATAGAAATGATTTGAGAAAGAAGGATTTCAGATTCCTAAGTGATTATAAACACTCTGTGTCTCACATTCCTGTTTCTGTAGCATTGTCTCATATTAAAATATATTCTATAAACAGTAAGTGCTAAATGCACTTATGTAATTAGTTCTACATTAAGGACGGAAAGGCCTGCAGGTAACTGTCTGCTGTAGTGGTATTTGCTCCGCCCATGACCCTGGGCTGTGGAGTCAGGCAGAAGCACCACTACAGTCTCCCATGTTGTAGTGCTTGTGGCCTGCCCTCCATGCCAGCTGGTGAAGTGGAGCATAGCCATCTCATTTGCGTTCTGTCCATGGCTGCTTTTGCTATAAGAGGAAGAAGCCTGTGGCCCTCCAAGCCTGAAATGTTCACCATGTAGCCCTTTACTGAGAGCTCACCTGCTTTGAGGAAGAACGTCAGATGCAGCCGTGGTTAGTCCTCATCAGCTTTCTGGTTTGGGCTGCAGTGGGAACTGGTAGGTATTTATTTGGTTGCAGCAATGATAAAAATGATTTAACGTAAGATAAAATATTGAAATATTGCTAGTATTTGGAAATTAAGAACAACTTGAAATTTTATATATGTAGAGTATTTTTTTTTCCCCTCCTCTGTGTGTTTGAAGATCAGTGGTTATTAATGCTTTCTCGGAGCTGCACTTAGGTATCATCCTTTCCTTTAAAAATATAAGGCATTTCTTCCAAGGCAACTCCTGAACATGGGGCCTGCCTTGGAGCATGGTTGATAAACACAGTGTCACTGTACTTTGTTAGTTATAAATTATATAACGAACGTTAACTATAAGATTAACATTAATTATAATAATAAAAATAATGTTAATAATAAAATTAACATTATAGACACTGATTGGAAAAGTCATTAACCAAAACAGGCTGAGTGTCGTTATTAGCAGCAAGAGGCAAGGGGAATGCCCTGCTTACAGAGAAATGGGGGCATTTTTAGGTAAGGACAGAGTAATAAGGTGTACTGATGGGATGGGAGACATGGCTCTTGCTACACAGTCATGAGGACCAGGATTCAGATCCCATCTCCCACAGAACAAGCAGGCCAGCCTGTAAACTCCCACAGTTCCACCTCTGAGTGATCCCATACCCTCCTCTGGCCTATGCACATTCAGGCCCATTTACCCACAAAGGCACACAAATAAGTAAATGGACAAATGAAGTATTTTAAAGAAATGGTGTTCTAAGTGTTCCCACGGTGTTTTCAACAGTGAAGATTTCACAAAAGTGCTTTCTTATTCAAGTATACAGACGCAGACTTCTCTCTGGAAAAGCACTTAGGTAGTGAGGGGTGAAGTCTTAAAAGAGCAAAGGAAAACGGCTGCACTGAATGCTTAAATTAAAAAGAATTTTAATAAACTAAAGACCAGCACGTATTTTCATGATGACTAATTATGACTAGTCGCCATCCTCGATGTACCCGAAGCTTTAGAATAGAGGCTGTATGTAGTCAGTTTGAGGAGCTGGAGAGAAGCTCGGTGGTTAAGACGCTCGCTGCTTTCCAGAGACTGAAGTTCAGTTTGCTGCAGCCACATCAGGTGCTCACAACCACCTGTAACTGCAGCTCTGCTAGCTCCCACAGGTACCTGTTCCCACATACACATAACCCGTACAAAGAGGCATAACATGTATACATAATTTAAAATGATATAAACAAGGCCCGGTGGGGGTGGTGCTGGTGCACGCCTTTAATCCCAGCACTCGGGAGGCAGAGGCAGGCGGATCTCTGTGAGTTTGAGGCCAGTCTGGTCTACAAAGTGAGTTCCAGGACAGGCTCCAAAGCTACAAAGAAACGCTGTCTCAATAATAATAATAATAATATAAACAAATATTTTTTCAAAATATTTCATATATATTGTTTGAGCAACTGTAAGCATGGATTTAATGCCTAGTACAAACTTAACTGGCAAGAATCTTCTAGTCTCTTTGTCTTTCAGCACGGGTTAAAGAGAGTGATACCTTCTGTTTTGTTTTAAAGGAAGCCATGAATAAGCCAGGCCATCTCAGACTCTTTGTGACAAGGATCATGCAAGAATTTGAAAGTGACACGTTTTTCCCAGACATCGATTTGGAGAAATATAAACTTCTTCCAGAGTAAGTACTACAATTATTAATTAGTCGGAAGCACTTTAGGGACTAATTACAGAAAAAAGGGGGATCAAGTAAGGACAAAGTACAATGACATGTGTATGAAAATTAACACGTCACAGCAGAACCCATGACTGTTAAATAAAAAGAGGAAAAAGGATTACAGAGAAGAGTCACTTTTTCCAGATTTCATCTGAAGTAGCAAACGTGCTATATAGAAAGGCACTTTTTTAATAATATTTCTATTTACTCTTGGAAGATTCCACACCCTGTATTTGGATCATATTCATTGCCCTCCCTCGCCTTCTTCAAAGAGAGGTCATGTTCTCTCTCTCTTTGAGAACAGAAACCAAAAGAACACAGAGTCTGGTCTGCACTGGCTGACCACTCGGAACACGGGCCTGCCCTGGAGTGGGGCTGATGAACACTGTCACTGTTAGAGGAAACTAACTTTCCCTCCCCCGTGGGTGTCCGTTGCCGGGAGCTCCTTGGTGAAGGTGGGGTTTGTACCCACTCCCTGCCCCTCATCTGGGGTTCGTCTGCCTTGAGCTTGTGCGGTCCAGTGCATGCTGCCTCAACCCCTGTGAGCCGACATGCATTGCCCTGCCGTGTCTGGAGAACAGCTCCCTTGAAGTCACCACCGCCTCTGGCTCTTCCAGTCTTTCGGCTCCTTTTCTGTGTAGATCGCTGAGCCCTGCAGGAAGAAGTGTGTGCGATACAGACATCCCATTTAGGGCTGAGTATCCCAGAGTCTCTTGTTCTCTCTGTGTTGACCGGTTGTGGGTTTCTGCTGCAAGAGGAAACTTCCCTGATGAGAGCTGAGCAGCTATGAATGTATCTAATGGGTACAGTCAGTAAGTTATTGAGAGTAATGGTATTGCTGTATTAGTGTAGCGGAATAGTAAATAGTGGTAGGTTTTCCCCTAGGGCCCATGACCTATTTGCCTTCAGGTTTCTTAGCCTTGTTGACAATGTCAGGTACGGGCTCCATCTCATGGAGTAAGTCTTAAATCAAAAAAAAAAAAAAAAAAGCAGTTGGTTGGTTACTCTGGTAACGTTCATGCCACTATTGATATTGAACCAGTGGGCATATCTTGCAGGCAGGTCGCTATTGTAGCTCACAGAGTTCCAAGTGGGTGAGACTGAGGATTTCTTTTCTCTTCTGGTAGCATGTGTATCGCCTTCCAGCACTGTGAATGCTGGCCAATAGGAATGAACTTCTAGTTGAATGCCAGCTAGATCTCTCCATGTTCTACGGTGTAAGAACGTAGTGCCTTTTCTCACGTGATGTGTGTTTGTTTAGTTTTATACTCGGGGGCTCAGCATAAACTACACAGATGGGTTACAGAGTTTGCCAATGTTCTGGTCTTTAAGAAAACTTTCTTCAGCTGGTGTTATGCAGCTGCTTCTTCTGAACTGCAACATGCCCTCCCGGAGGAAGGAGAAAAGGGTTGAGACTCAGGAAGTAAAATTCAGTTTACAAGGTACAGGAAGCTCCTCAAGCTTAGGAGTGGCCAGGCTCTCCCTCAAGGTCATCTGGGTGATGGCAGTTGCTGGGGAGAAGAGAGCGATCAGCTGAGCTGCCTGCCAGCTGTGCAGGGGCTCCGGGGATGCAGCTTTGTGTGCTTTCACCTACTAGTGTGGGCTCTGCACAGCTGCCTTTGAGTCAGTCACCCACGCTCCTGGAAGTCACACAAACAAAATCACTAGTTCACCAAGCTAAACTTAGAGAGTCATTTCTTTGGTCTATTGCCAGTGCCCTATCTGGAGTAGAAGTTTGTTCGTATCTCTAAAATGATACATTATAGCAACTTTTAGAAATCCGCTTTAATGGACTTGGAAATGTTCAGGCTTTAATGATTTGGGTGGCCCCTGGCACAGCTGTACTAGTTCTTCTAGGGGAGTGAGGCCTGTCTGTGAAAGCTGTGTAGATTCTGCCGCCTGCTGCTGCTGCTAATGCTGCTAATGCTGCTGCCCGTCCTGGAGACGGCTTCTTGACAAGCACAGTGGGGTCTGGTGGAAACTGCAGTGTGAGGATCCTCTCTGAAGAAACAGCCACACAGCAGCAGGAAACGTGGTCCAGGAGCAGGAAACAGGGAGTGCAGAGCCTGAGGCAAGGAGGAAGTGGGCCTATTCTGTGATCCAGGAGGAGGCCAGGGACATTGTCCCAGCTCTATGGCAAAGTCACTGGAGGGGAACAAGGAGTCTGGATTTGGGTGAAAGCTGAGGGGTCAGAGGTTAAAGTGGCCACAGTTGGGAAGCTGCAAAAGAAAAGCTACCCTTGTGATTCCAGCAGGAAGCCCCCTGATTTGGAAACCTGGGAGCATTTTCATTTAAAAGCACTTTAAACTGTTAGCTATAGAAAGCAAAAGGAAAAGTTAATTATATCAACATTTTTAGACCAGTTCTTAACACATTTCTCCAGATAGTCTCAACTGTGTCTAGTAACTATCCTATGAGTGTGAATTTGGTTTTTTGTGGGTTTTTTTTTTGGGGGGGGGTTGGTTTTTTGAGACAGGGTTTCTCTGTGTAGTTTTGTGCCTTTCCTGGATCTTGCTCTGTAGACCAGGCTGGCCTCGAACTCACAGAGATCCGCCTGGCTCTGCCTCCCGAGTGCTGGGATTAAAGGCAAGCACCACCACCGCCCGTAAATTTGTTTTTTGCACATCCCATAAAGAAACATTAACAACTTAGTCTAGATAAATGAGTAGTTAAGCTTTAGAATAATAGTCTTGTTACTTTATGGAGTGACAGTCTTGGATCTCATAAATTCTGTATTTAGTGATTTCCTTGGGCTCTTCGTTCTAAAGTAACAGGAAATCACAAACCACCCGCACCTGAAGTCCAGCTCTGCACAGGCTCCTGAAGTCTGCAAGGAAAACCATAGTCGGTCATTGCATCAAATGTTTATCTGAAAATCACACCCTGTGTATTTTCTACTTAAACTGTGAATTCTCACGTTATGTGAATATAGGGCTCACCTCTCCCTTATTTCCTCTTTTTTTTTTGCTACTAACAATACGAACAGACTGCTGTGTGATCAGCTTCATTCAAATACCCTTCTAATGCTTACTGTTTTTAATCAGAATCTTCCCATGGCACTAACCCGTAAGGATCCTTGACAAATACTACTGTGACTCTCTGACTTTTAGAAAAGCAAACCAGGACCGTTGCTGGCACAGGCACATGTCATGACGTCACCTGTTGAGACTGAGTGACTCAGTGGTCTTGCTGTGTTTTCTTGTATTCATATATGGCGTTGATTAGAAATGTGCAAGTATTTTTCTGGACTCCCATTCCTATCTCTTTGGTCTATGTGTGCTGTTATGCTACTACTACATGGTCTTATTTGGGTTTAGATGGTCTCATGTAGCCCAGGCTGGCCTGGAACTTACTAACTAGCCTAGGATGACCACCTGCTTCCATTTCTCAGGGGTTGGAATTATGCCTACCTCACTTGGCTTCTTTACATATAGCCATCAGTGGTGCTCGCTTGTACTCAGGAAGTATAAACCTTTGAGCTTTGTTCTGTTTCAGGTGGCTTTTGCTGTTCTGGGCCCCTTGGGTTTCCATTTGAATTTTATGATCAGTATGCCAGTTTCTGATAGGAAGCAGTCTGGGATTCTCATAGGTATTGTATCTGGAGAGCACTGAAGAGAACCGTCTCCAAATACGGTGTTTGAAACCTTGAACGTGATGGAGCTTTTCACTTAGGTAGATCTTTACTCTTGTCCAGTAAGTAATGCTTTACTGCACTCAGTATCTTGCACCACTTCAAGTATATTTTATTCCTTTTGATGCTCTTGTTCTGTTTTCAGACTGTTCACTGCTAGTGTATAAAATGATGAGTCACTCTTTATTGATCTGATGTCCTTCAACTTCATAGTTAGAGCTTAGTAGTTGTGTATACTTGTTGATAGTTTAGAGCTAGAATTACTAGTTCTAACTGTCAGTGCAGTCTCAGCACTGGGATAATGAACTAAAGGTGAAGTTAGAGCTGGCCTGGGTTCGTGCCGTCCGTCTGCAGCTCTTCCTCCGTTCCGTCACATGTTCATTATTTCTTTCTCTTGCCCGATCATCTGGTCCAGAGCCTCCAGCAGGATGAGTAGGAAATTAGAGCAAACATCCTACTGTCTTGTTCATGGTCCTCGTGGGAAAGCGTGGGACTTTATCACGCTGAGGAAGGTGATTTCTAGTTCAGTAAGTGCTTTAATATTGAAGGACTGCAGGATTTTGCTGCATGGTTCTTCTGAACCATTTGACACTATTAATACAGTATATTACATGATTGGGTTTCATAGTAAACTAATTTTGCATTTCTGAGGTCAATTCTACTTGGTACTTATATGTGATTTTTTTTTATATGTTGGTAGAGTCAGTTTGCTACCATTTTATTAAGGATTTTTGCATTTGTATCCCAAAGAGACATTTGTTGTGTGATTTTCTTTTCATGTGTTCAGCCAGTCTTGGAATCAGATATGTTGACTTGCCAGATGAGTTAGGAAGTGATGTCTTTGTGCTTGCATGGGAAAGCTGAGGAATGTGTGCTGGTTCTTTCCTATCCCAGGAGTTTGTGGTGTGTGGAATGAGACAGGACAAGGCCATTGCTGTGACATGGATGTTCTAATCAACACTCCACAGGAACTAAACACCTGTTCCATCACAGCATGTGATAACCACCTGTTCTCTGTGCTAATGTCCCAACAGCCTCCTTAAGGGGGAGTCGAGGGAGTTCCCTAAGGCAGAGGTTCTCAACCTGCCTACTGCTGTGACCCTTTAATGCAGTCCCTCATGTTGTGGTGACCCCCAACCATAAAATTATTTATGTTGCTACTTCACAACTGTAAATTTGCTACTGTTTATGAATTAGTGTAAATATCTGATATGCACATGGTTTTAGGCGACCCCTGTGAAAGTGTGTAAGTGTCTTAGTTAGGCTTTCTACCCCTGTGGTAGACATAATAGCCAAGAGCAACCCAGGGAAGAAAGGGTTTATTTTATCTTATACTTCCAGGTACCAGTCCATCATGAAAAGAAGTCAAGGAAGGATCTGGAGGCAGGAACTGATGTTGCCTACTGGCTTGCTCCTCAAGGCTTATCTGCCTGCTTTCTTATATGCCCCAGGGCCACCTGCCCATGAGTACCACCTCCCACTGGATCCATTCATATAAGTTATCAACCAGACTTGCCTACAGACCAATCTGGTGGGGACATTTTCTCAATTAAGATTCCTACCTCCCAGGTGACCCCACCTTGTGTTGACATAAAAACTAGCCAGCCGAGTGAGGACACTGTCTGGAAGATAGGGGCATTGCTCAGTTCTGGGCCTTTGTCTCTGAGCCTCTATAAACTGGGAAACTTCTCGTTTCTCCTAATGTCCAAAAATGAGCTTTAATATTCTCCACTCCCCTTTGTTTCCCCATCATTCCCCAGGAAGTTTACAGTGTGTGGATTTAGTTTTTATTTATGTTTTAAAAAAGTCAATGATCGCCGGGCGGTGGTGGCGCACGCCTTTAATCCCAGCACTTGGGAGGCAGAGCCAGGTGGATCTCTGTGAGTTCGAGGCCAGCCTGGTCTACAGAGCAAGATCCAGGACAGGCACCAAAACTACACGGAGAAACCCTGTCTCAAAAAGCCAAAATAAAAATTTTTAGAAAAAGTAAATGATCAAATCCACACATTATTTCATCCCTTCTAATTCCTCTCCTACACACCCAACCACTATTTCTTCACAATTTCATGTTTTGTTTTGTTTTTTGTTTCGTCTTTTTTTTTTTTTTCAAACTCACTGAGTCCACTTAATGCAGCCAGTGTATGCGTGACTGTGGAGTCACCACTGGAGCATGGGTAGCCTCTCTGAGGCCACATCCCTGAAGAAAATTCACTCTTCCTCCCCACACGGCCATTAGTGGTCAATAGCTCCTCAGCTAGGGATGGGACACCTTGGCTTCCTCTCCTACCCATGCTTAGACTTTGTCTGGCTTGATCTTGTAGAGGTCTAATGCAGTCAAGTAGTGAGCTCATATGTGCCGCAGCCCTCTCATGTCCAAAAACACAACTGTTCTGCAGCTGGCCACTAATCTGTCTCTTATGTTCTTCCCAACCCCTCTTCCACAATCATCCTTGAGCCTTGTGTGTGTGCATGTGTGTGTGTGTGCATGTGGGGAGGGGTTGTGTGTGTATGCGTGTGTGTGTGTGTGTGTGTATGCGTGTGTGTGTGTGTGTGTGTGTGTGTGTGTATGTATGCATGTGTGTGTGTGTGTGTGTGTGTGTGTGTGTGTGTGTGTGTGTGTGTGTGTGTTATACACTGAGGCCAGAGGTCACCCTCAGGTGCCATCCTCAGCAGCATGTCCTCTTTGAGACTGGTCTGTCCTTGCCTGGAATTCATTCAATTGCTGGCTGGCCAACAAACCCCGAGCTTCTCCTGTCTCTACCTCCACAGCATTGGAAATACACCCTTGCCACCACATCTGATGTTTTTTTTGGTGGGGTCTCAGGCCCTCCTACTTGAGTGGCAAACTCTTTACCACTCATTTTGACCCCCATTGTCTCCATTAACTGAGTATATTACTCTTATGTTTATACAGCTTTCTGTTCAAATGCAGTATTTTTGATTAACACCGTACTATGCAGTTTTTGCTTTTTTAATCACTACTGTAATGAAGTAAAGATGAAAGCAAGACTGTGAGTAGAGAATGAATAGGAAATGAATGGTGAGGCATTCACTAGTCAGAGGCCTAAGAGCCGAGTTCCTGGCATCACAACGGTGGTTTTTCCACACCTTCTTTTCCTGTAAGTCTTTGCCTCTGCGGTTGCTCTTCCACAGCACCAGGCCGGTCCGTCTCATCCCGGGCAGGTCTGCTCTCATTGATCTTGCTCGGAAGAAATTTTTCCGCCTCAAATTTCATGAGGCCTCAACCAGACCAGCAGGTCCAAAAGTTTTATATCAGCGGTATTCTGTTTAATGAGCTCCAAAATAAATCAGTAAGACAAAGGAGGGCCTAGAAGCTGTGCTAGCCCATGGTTTTCATCGCTGTAGGAGAATGCCTGGGGCAAGCTAACTGTAGAAAAGAGATGTTTACCTCACAGTCATGGAGTCTCAAAGGCATGCTACAAGCTTTAGCGTTGCTGCTAGTGAAGACCTCATAGCAGGTGTCCCACAGGGACAGGCATTCCTAGAGGGAGTAATCATACTTGGAATCAAGGAGTTGGTAGTTGGTTCCAAAGCTAGGACCCTTGCCTCTCATCAGTGAACACCCTGGAGTAGATTTTAGGTGCACTGATGTTTTCTCTTCTGACTCCTCCATCTCTTGACTTTCCAGGATGCTGGCATACTTGCCCACAATCTCCAGCAGAGCCTGTGCTTCTGGTGCGATACCCATTTTATTTTAGTTGGAGTTTGTTTGCTTAAGAACTGTTTCAAGAATTCTCTTTGCCTCGGAGAGCTCCTACCGAATCATCTCCAGATTGCTGTGGCCCTTCATTATTTCAGAGCTGCTGTTTATTGACTCTTAATGCTTGAGGATTCTAAATAGGAGGATGTGTGGGTGGAGCCTAACAATAAATAGTACACCAATTCCTGTGAGCCTTGAACTCTAAAGGCCAAGTCCTGGGCTGGGAAGATGGCTCAGCTATTAAAAAGTACCAGCAATGCAAAAATTAGCAAATAGGAAGAGTTGGGAAAACATCTCTGGCCCCCACAGAAACGAGTACATAGACCACACATACTTGAACACATGTGCTCATGCACGCACAGTGCAAGTAGAGTTCTCAGGAAGAGTTTGTTTGACAGTAAGCTGGGGCAGTGGTTCACTACTATAATCTCAGTATTCAGGAGCCTGCAAATTCAAAGCCAGCCTGAGATACAGAATGAGATCCTATCTCAAAACCAAGAAAGCCGGGTGGCAGTGGTACACACCTTTAATCGCAGCACTCGGGAAGCAGAGCCAGGCGGATCTCTGTGAGTTTAAGGCCAGCCTGGTCTACAGAGCGAGATCCAGGACAGGCACCAAAACTACACAGAGAAACCCTGTCTTGAAAAAAAAAAAAAAAAACAAGAAAGTTTAGAATTGTGATTATAATTATAACCATTATTAAAAAGACCAAAAGATATTAGAAGAAAAGAAACTAAATTTAAGGCGAGTTCAGAGTTCAAGCTTAGTTTCACAGTAAAATTACTATTAATACCATGACTCCTAAGTATACTCAGCTGGTCGTATGTAAGATTTTATTATTCTTGGCTTTAGAAAGAACCTTTTGGTGCTCTGCTTTTGTCTTAGTAACTGACAGTCTTGGTGCTGAATTTTTTTTTTTTTTTCGAGACAGGGTTTCTCTGTGTAGCTTTGCGCCTTTCCTGGGACTCACTTGGTAGCCCAGGCTGGCCTCGAACTCACAGAGATCCGCCTGGCTCTGCCTCCCGAGTGCTGGGATTAAAGGCGTGCGCCACCACCGCCCGGCTTGGTGCTGAATTTTAAACACACACACACACAAAATACTCAAATGTGACTTTTTGTTTGTTTCAGGTTGTTTTCTTTTCTTTGGGGGTGGGAGTTGTGACAGGGCTTCTCTGTGTAGCCCTGGCTGTCCTAGAACTCGCTCTGTAGACCAGGCTGGCCTTGAACTCAGAGATCTGCCTGCCTCTGCCTTCTGAGTGCTGGGACTAACGGCGTGCACCACCACCCTTCAACTTCAGTTTTTTTTTTTTTTTTTGGTTTTTCGAGACAGGGTTTCTCTGAGTAGCTTTGCGCCTTTCCTGGAACTCACTTGGTAGCCGAGGCTGTCCTCGAACTCACAGAGATCCGCCTGGCTCTGCCTCCCGAGTGCTGGGATTAAAGGCGTGCGCCACCACCGCCCGGCTCAACTTCAGTTTTAAGCAGCTGTAGATAAATTTGTTTTTCTTTTCTTAGAAATGTGATTTCAACTGTAACTTGCAAAAAGTTACTAAGGAATTGCCTACCTCATTGGTAGAGTGGAAAGATAGACGAGAAATAGGAACTGGGGTTCATTTGTGAGGGAAAAAATGTAAGTCAGAACTAAAGAATAAGATACGGGGCTGTGCATTTCCAGCTTTCCACGACTGGCTGGTTTTCTTCTGCTGCCGTGTGCTGTGTACATGTGGCTATTCACTCACCTCGGGAGTAGCCTGCCACTTTGAAGTGACCAAAGGCAGGAAAGCCTTTCTCACTTCACAGTGTGGGTGCCCTTGCATGAGAAGTCAGGGGAGATATTTTGTGCCTTCAGTGGGTGTAGAACTAAGTCATGAACCTTCTTCTTTTCCAGATACCCAGGTGTCCTTTCTGAAGTCCAGGAGGAAGAGGGCATCAAGTATAAATTTGAAGTCTATGAAAAGAAAGGCTAACAGGAAGGTGCTCGCTGGTTGACTTGAAGCTCTCCTGCTTTCCTCCTAAAATTACTCCTTCTTACAAGGCCATGGACTTCTGTTGACTTTGGATCTATGAGTGATTCTTTCTTTGGGGGTTAGTTGGGGGAAAGTGTTTGTTTTGAGTTGCTGAAGCTGGAACCCGGGGCCCTGTGCATGCTGGGTAAATGCTGTGCTACTAAGCCACACCCCAGCCCCTGTATAATTCTATACAATATGTTTTCATTTCCATTAATCTAACCAGGTTATATTAAATATACTTGAAGAAACCCTGCTTTCTGTAAAGGTCTCAATGCCCCGCCCACGTGGCCTCAGGTGGCTCCCTGGAAGATGCATAGGGTAGTGTGTGTACAAGAGAAGACCCCAAAGAGAGAGAGCCCTTGAGAGCATCAGCTCATGTGGGGGCTCAGAGAGATAGGAGCTAGACAGATAAGTCCAAAGGGTGGAAATGGGTTTTAAACAGCAGAGCTGGAACTCAGACTTTAAAAGAAAATTAGATCAAAGTAGAGACTGAATTATTCTGTGCACATCACACTCTCGGCAAAGTTCTGTTCACTCAGACAGAAAATCGGTAAATTGAGTTCTCCATTGTGTTCCATGGAGAAGGGAGCAGGTGGAAGATTATGTAAGGTCTGAAACACTGAATCTCTCCGTTTCTCATCTTCAGTGAGTGAGATTCCAAGGGGTGTTTCAGCGACAGAACAAGAATAGGCTGCTTTCTCAAAAAAAAAAAAAAAAAAAAAAAAGAACTAATAGCAAGCATAATAGCTACTGTTAAGAATTCAGAGATAATGAATTGAGAATGGATATTGCTTGAAATGAAAATTAATAAGTTAGAAACTAAACTTTATGAAAATGAAAAAAAATGAGAATTAAAATGCCTTTCTTATCATCTCAGCAGGGCTTATATCATCAGGTCAAAAAAAGATAGTATTTTCAGACCTGCCTTGTTAATTAATACAATCTTTTTTTTTAAAGAATTTTTTTATCTTTCACTTGACAGTTTCATATATGTAGATCCAAATCCCCACTCCCTCTCCCTCCACTGCCTTCATATCCTCATTTTTGTTTTTCCTAACCCACTGAAAACAGTTAAGGTGTTCTTCATGATCCTAGGTGTATGGATCATGGGCAGCCTGCAGTGGCCACACCTACACACACCCAGCCGCCATCAGTTGCCAATAGCTCTTCAACTGTGGATGGAGCCTCATGAGCCTCTCCTAATCCATGCTGGACTATTTACTGGATTGATCTGCAGATAACCATATTGATCTGCAGATAGCCAGAGCTGCTGTGAGCTTGGGAGTGTAATGGCCGTGTGCTGTCCAGAAGACGGCATTATATATACAGCACTCTTCCTCCTTCAGGCCTTTCATTCTCTCCAGCACATCTTCCCCAATGTTCCCTGAGCCTTAGACAGGGTTGTTGACATAAATGGTCTATTCAGAACTGAATATTAAGCAATCATTTATTTTCTTTGTTCCGTTATGAGTCTCTATGCTGACTGCTGTCCACTGCCAAACTTTTGCTCTGACTGGAGTTATGAGCAGCACTAACCCGGGCTATAAACCCAGATATTTAGAAGGCACTTTGAAAACCTATCCATTTAGCAAACAACAATAGTAGGTTCCCCTTCGGAGCCCATGAATCCCACAGCCATGGGCATTTGACCAGGTTTACGGTACCATACATGTGATTGCTCTCCTGTGGAGCGGGCCCTCAGATCCGACTAGAAAGCAGTTGGTTACCATGATAGTCATGCCATGACTGCACCAGTAGGTTAGTAGTGTAACATGCGGGGCCTACCACTTGGTAAGTCCATGAATGACTTTTCTCCCCTGGTGATTTGCATAACACCCGGCACTGTGAAGGCTGTCCAGGAAGGAGGAAGCTTGCAAGTCAGCTCCAGATTGATTTCTCCCTGTCCTGCGACCACAGTGTGCTGTGCCTTCAGCAATAGGGGCTTGCCGTCTAGCTGTGGTGACCAAGCCAAGAGCAATGGCAATAGCCTGTGTTGTTTGGGGAGCCTCCATAACCAATTGCTCCTAATGAGGTGTCTCGTACCTTGCACTGAGATTCATTTAATTCATTCATTTAGTGACCTGTGTTTTCATTTAATAATCGTCCACTAGTGTGTAAGGTACCACCATTCAAATTTTTTTTTTTTTTAGTTATAATTACATTACAAAGCAGTGGGGTGTTTCTTAGTTTTAGTTAACCCATACTATAGATACAGTCTTTTGAATGTAGTCAATTCAGTTTCATAATATTCTAGGTTTGAACCCAGAAATACTACCTGATAATCATGAACAAATTGCTGAACTCAAGGAGCCAGGGGGACAGCTGAATTAGTTCCTATAAAGCATGGGAACTGAGTTTGTGTTATGCATCAGTTTCCTCTAAAATTAAAACCTATCTTGAAAGCTGTTTTGAAACAAGATAATATAGAGGAAGTGAAACTAGAGGATAGTCTAAGGGGAGGTGAAACAGTCTGTTCTGCTAGGAAGTTCCTTAAATTCAGGAAGCAAGCAACTCGAAAGGGTTTAGGAAGTTCCTGAATCTGACCAGGCACACTAGACCCCACCCTTCCCAAGCACATATAAGCAGTGATTGTCCAGGGACACTGAGACAAGCTGGGCTATGTAGAAGAACAGCTGAGCCTCCTGGAAGAGCAGAGACCAGTGAAACTGTCTGAAAGAGGTTTAGATCTACTGAACTACCCGGAAAGGACGCCCCAACCTGTTGAGCTGCCTGTAGGTTGTATAATGCACTACAGGTTTCCAGATTTCATGAGCTGTCACCCATGCTGGTGTGGGCTTTTGGTGATGCAACTGTCTTTGAGTCATTTCTGCTTCTGTAAGTAAGCCCAATAAAACTCAATGGTTCACCAAGTTGAATTTTGGTGGTATCCTTCCTTTGGCTTTCTATATTGGGTTAGTAGGCATTTGTCCATGTCTCTTCAGGAAGAGGGTTTTGTAATAGTTTGGATCCCTGGTGCCTGTGTAAAATGCCAAGTGCAGTGGCATATGTTTGTAACCCCAACAATAGTGGGGGAAGGGAAAGACTGGCAGTTCATTGGCAAACCAGACTGGCCCAGTTAGTTCCCAGTACAGTGAGAGTTGCTGACTCAAAAAGTGAGGTAGAGAACCATAGAAGATACCTCATATTAGCCTCAGGCCTCCACACATGCACACATGCACACACCCCAACAAGTACATACACATCACACACAAAAAGAGAATCCAAAGGAAAGTGTTAGTTTGTAGCTGGAGTTTTCCTGCCTGGCCCACAGTCAGGACAAATCTCTCTCACCTGCCAGTCCCACAGCCGCTCAGACCCAAACAAGTAAACACAGAGACTTACATTGCTTACAAACTGTATGGCCGTGGCAGGCTTCTTGCTAACTGTTCTTACAGCTTAAATTAATCCATTTCCATTAATCTATACCTTGCCACATGGCTCGTGGCTTACCGGCATCTTCACATGCTGTTTGTCATCATGGCGGCTGGCAGTGTCTCTCTGACTCAGTCTTCTACTTCCCAGCTTTATTCTCCTCCTTGGCCCGCCTACACTTCCTGCCTAGCCAATGGCCAATCAGTGTTTTATTTATTGACTAATCAGCAACACATTTGCCATACAGAACATCCCACAGCACAGTTCTTTAAGCCTAGACTTATGTTTATTGCCTTTTATCTGTTTTTTTTAAAGATTTATTTATTTATTATGTATACAGCATATATGTGTTATTATGATTAGGATTTTTGGAAACTGTATTTCATACAAAATTACTTAAGCTATTCAGTCACAGACTCTGTTTTCAACAGGAAAATGAGGGTACAGAGCACTAAGAGTAAAAGTGATTTTCCAAGTCTCCCATCAAGGGAGGGAGGACACGCCACACAGAACAGAAGGGGTCAGTTCTACAGAAAAGTTGCACATCAGAAGAAAACAGTGCGGCTTTCTCACAATGAACATAACCTGAAAGCTACCCGTCTCCAGAGCTCGTGGGACTCAGGGGTTCGGTCAGGAAAAGAAACGAGCTGTTTAAAGGAGAAATTGAAGTGGCCAGTCAGCACACCCAGAGGTAAACTTCCCACTAGAAAGGAGGGAAAACAGGCAAAAATTGTGATGTGTGACGATCTCACCATTGTCAGACTTAAGTGTTGTTGATATTTCCTAAAGATGAGGACGCGTACACTCATGAACACGACAGCAGTTTCACAGTGGATAAAAGGCAGGAGAAAAGCTCATACCTGTGATAATGAAAAGCTGAAAGCAGCCTGGAAACCCAGAGACAAAGAAATGATTATATTCCTATTTCAGGATGAGTTCTGTCCTAAGCACATTCTGAAACACTTCAGTGAAAGTGGTCTATGTAGTAGGTCATACCAGAAAACACCAGCTGGGATATGGAAAACAAGAAACCTGGTTCAAGGTCAGTAAGGAGATTCCCACTGGCAAGCTGATATACCTGGGAAATGGAGGAAAGCTGGAGTATGTAGACTCCGGTCGTTGGTTGAGGGATGCTCCAAGTTGTCAGCTTGTTGCTATGTGTAAACTGAACACATTCCAGCGGCTAAGGTCCCAAGTGTTTGCAATAGAAAGCTGCTGACATGAATGCAGAGAACACTAAACACTCCAGCAACTCCATGTTTCTGCTACTCTCTGCATAGAAAAAAAAAAAAAAAGTACAGCCCAGTAATTTATTTGAAGTGTAATGTGTATCAGAAGCTCAGGGTAAGGGGGTTGATAGTAGCTGACTCCAGCGCTTTGGCCACATTGAAAACCAGATGTGATATGTTTTAAAAATAGAAGTAGAGGTTGCTGGTGGACTTTGAATTTGATTTTAGACTCACTGAGTGTGGGCCCTGGCCCCCCACTGTGAGTGGCAGCCGCCTTGCTTGCCGACCTTGACCAGATGTCCTCCCTATTCAGATTCCCTGCCGGTTTCCTTCTCACCTAACATTCTACCGGAGGTTCTTTGTTCCTGTATCCTGCATTTGGTGTAAACAGCTTAGATGCAAAAATGTAGCAAACTTCTGCCCTCCGGGGATCCGCCATTGTGCTGTAAGCCTGTATTTAAGGTTTCCTCCCTCTTTCAATAAACGGCATTCGGCTGGCATTCAGCATTCAGCCGTGGCGAATGACTCGCTGTCTCTTGTCCCTTATTTTTTAATCCACAGCCCCTCGCTCGGACATGGTGAACGGGTGGTGATAGCGCGGGCGTTATCCCTACAAATGGAGGTTCCTACCGAGATCCGAGAAAGAAGGGACAAGCTGATGGACACCCGAAAGGTAAGGCTGGCCAGCAATTTAAAGAAAAAAGAAAAGATAAGGGTGAATTGAAATGGGTGCAGCTAGCTCACAGTCAGTTGATTGGACTGTTGAAGCAGGAAGGCACCGAAATTAAGAAAGGGCAAGACAGCTAAAGATTTTAAATAAAAAAGGAAATCTTCCCAAAAGAGAAGAGGGAAGGAAAGGAAATTTCCCATTAGAAAAGGGAGAAAAAATTTTAATCAAGAAAAAAGGATTTTCCCGGTAAAAAGGGGAAAAATTTTTTGAAACTAGGCCTAAAGATTGGGGCCCTGTAGAGGAAGGATGAAGGAAAGAGAAAAGCCTCTTCCCAGTGGTAATGGAGGAAGAAAAGTCTCTTTCCAATTATAGAATTTTCAGGATAGCTGAAACTCTGAGCTCTTTCTGCCTGCCAGCACAGAGCGGCAGCATCTGAATTACAAAGAATCGGCAGGTGGGCCTCATTGCTGCTGGCTGAACAGCAAGCGAGCCCAGAGGTTAGAAGTTTGGCTGTCTGTTTGCTTATTCTGGTTCAAATGTTTTTTATTTTTCCCTCAGAATGGGAATAATTCAATATTTAGGATCCCTTCGTGGGAAATGTTTTTGTGTTTTTCCCTTATGGCGGGAATAACTCATTATTGTTAGGTAGTCCCTTCATGGGAGTAGGAAGTTTAAACTTGAGTTTGTGTGTGCGGGGCGCGCACCCAGTGGCGGTAGCGGCGGACAAAGGCATGCAAGAGATAGCGCCGGTGGGAGTTGGAGCTGCGATGGAGCGTGGCCCGGCCGGGCACCAGCACTAGAGCCCAGGCACGGGCACTAGAGCCTGAGCACTGGGCGGAGCCAAAGCTAAGCCGCAGCTTCAGCTCCTGCCAAGTGAGCAGAGGCCCGGGAAGGGACTAGCGCCTAAAAGTTTAAACGGGCCTAACTTCTGATGAAAAATGGTTTCAGTCAGGACATTGAATGCTAAGTCAATGCTGTGTGAATAAAGGATGTTTTGTTCTTTTGATTGTCTTAATAAATGTTTAGATAAATGTTTGATTCTCATGGTAGATAAACTAAAGGAACAAGATTCATAATTTTGAACTATATATTAGGTGTGTTCTTGTCTGTTGATCATTACTGAAAATTTGGTTCTGCAATTTAAGTTGCTTTCTAGAAATTCTTGGTTTAATTCTCTAGAAATATAACACCTGAAATGGATTGGGTTGTTAGCTTATTAAACAATGTTGCTAAGATAAACCAATAAATAATAATCTCTTACTGATAAAGAGGTTACAAAATTATTTTTCCAGTAAATAAGATACAGGTAAATTGTTTGGTCCACATTGTTAAGAATTGGATATTTGCAGCCGGGCGGTGGTGGCGCACGCCTTTAATCCCAGCACTCGGGAGGCAGAGCCAGGTGGATCTCTGTGAGTTCGAGGCCAGCCTGGGCTACCAAGTGAGTTCCAGGAAAAGGCACAAAGCTACACAGAGAAACCCTGTCTCGAAAAACCAAAAAAAAAAAAAGAATTGGATATTTGCATTAATGTGTTACTTGGAATTTATAAAAAAGGATCCTCTTCTTAAGATTTTATAAAAATACTCCAGAGTATTACCTAAAGTTACCTTTTCAAATCATAGAGATTGTATTTAATGCTTTTATAATTGGCATATGTAAAAAGGACCATAGAAATAGAAGCTGGTGATAGAATTGCTCAATTATTATTGCTTTCATATTTTAAAGGCAAAATGGCGCCTATATGTAGAACTGGAGGTTTTGAAAGTACAGGAGAAAAGATGTTTTGACAAACAGTTATCAATGATAAACAGCCTAAATTAAAAACAAAATTATATGGGATTGAGATTGAAAGATAATTGGATTCTGGTGCTGGATATATCTATAATTTCACAAGAATCCTGAGATCCCAATTGGCCCCTTAAGAATTCCATCTCTAACCTACAAGGTATCGGCACAGCTCAGATGCCATTGCAGAGCAGGCTACTTTTAAATTGGAAGGATGAGGAAGGTCATGCAGGAACTTTTCAATCCTTTGTGCTACCTGACATTCCAGTGAACTTGTGGGGACGAGATGTGTTAGGCGGCATGGGAGCAGTGCTTAATACACAGCCTGTACAACAGATACTAAAAAGTCAGGGCTACTGCCCAGGCAGAGGCTTAGGAAAAATGTTACAAGGAGACCCACTCCCTATGGCAGACAAAAACTGTCACTAGAGGTCCTGGGGATACAAGAGGATTAGTGTCTTTTCCATAGGGGTCACTGCGCAGCAGCCTTCGATTATACAACCAATAAAAATCACTTGGAAAAGTGATGACCCTGTATGGGTTGAACAGTGGCCCCTTACTAAAGAAAAATTGGAGGCTGCGAACACATTAGTTAAGGAACAGTTAGATGCTGGTCATATCATTCCTTCCACTTCGCCTTGGAACTCACCTATATTTGTTATTAAAAAGAAGTTAGGAAAATGGAGGCTATTACAGGATCTTAGAGCTGTAAATAAAACCATGCTTCTCATGGGAGCAACACAGCCTGGCTTGCCTGCTCCTGTGGCAATTCCTAAACATTGGCATTTAATTGTGGTTGACTTGAGGGATTGTTTCTTC